ACCCCTTTTAATATTTTCGAATATAAAAAGGGGTAAAAGTGACGGATCGTGAAACATTCCGTTACAACTATAATATACGAATACAAAACTAACTGCACAATCAAAGCTTTTCTATTTTTCCTCTACTTATACTTTTTATGAGAGAGTAATTGTCTTCTATTATTAATTCATCATTATAAATTAAGCTCTGTTTACTACTGAACTTAGATGGAGTAAAATCCTCGCGGTGAATTGCATATACCCACATTTTCGATAGCCCCTCGTCCAACGGGAAACTAAAAGCATGAACTTTTGAACCACCCACATAATTCCCCGGACAAAAGGGAACACAACACTTGAAAGGCATTGTTATTTCGCCGATCACAACACAAAATATTTCACAAAACAGTAATTTTTTCGCCAATTATTTTGATGAATAAGCAACAAAAGAATTCGGGACCGTTTCAAAAACATACGTGAATCACCGATGAATTAACACGAACTGACGCGTTAGTCGACAAGCGATAAAATAAAACACTGGCCTCTCTTGGTGACGTCACGAGCTGTTTACGTCAGAGTCTGCTGGCCTTGTTGTATCGGTGGTAACGGTTCATTTCGTTTTGATATTTCATATGTTTAACTTCATTATTTGTGTATTTTTGAATTTCGTGTTTTCCAGTGGATTATTATGTTCTGATTGAGGACAAGATTATATCTGTTCAACAGTAGATAACCTACCTACCTCTAGTTGACATTTAAATGTACCATCATAATGTAAGCTGAAAGTTTTTATCATTATTGAACAAAAATTCTCATGATTTAACCTGTATGGGATGGTGATTTCCAATTCAAATAGATGGCTGTGATATTTACCTGATAGCATAATATTTTTGGAAGGAAGTACCTACCTTTTGGGAATAAAATGTTCTTTCGTAGTTAAAGTAATTAAAGTTGAGTTTTTACTCACTTTTTACAACAAATAATAATCAAATACCTCTTTTTATATTCTTGATAAAAAAACTGAATGTTAAAAATCATTTTACAGGTACATAGTAGGAAGACTATCATAGAAGCTCTCGAAAAAATCACTTATATCAAAGCTTATATGTAATCCAAGGTAATGGGGAATTTATATAGTTGAAGAAGCTACATAATTATTATGGGCAGATACAATTATGGGGATGGCTCTACTTTAAATTTAAACAATACATTTTTGGTTACATATTCATCTTCCAATTACATTATTTTGAATTTATTTTGGTTATTGATAGAATTTGATTTTGAGTCTGTGAAGAACATGTTATGTTATGGAAGAAAATTATATCAATAAAATGTTTACATGTTTCATGTGAAACCCAGTGTTCTGGTTGATGAAATTCTTTACTGTTTATAAATTCTACTGTTCATGAGTAGTATTATGATGAAAGATATAATCAGATGAAAATTTGTTTGTTTTTTATTATTACCCCAAGAAGCAGGTATTATATTCATAATAGACATACCTATTATATATGGAAATATATGGGTAAATTTTCAGTAAAGTGAAAAGAATAATCTTTCATAATATGCTCACACTTTTTTTTCAATCTTCAAGTTATGAATTCACATCTTTCTTCGATGGATCACTCCATTGTTTCCCAACTTAGTTACAAATACAATTTAGGGTTATCCTGACTTTGGAAAGGTATGAAAGCTATATTCGGGATTTTTTTGCTCGAGATGAACAATGGGGTACACAACAATAGTGATTCATGTTTTTAAACGTTTATAAAATTTCTCAAACAAAATTATAGACGATTTAGACACAACTACTTCTCATATAAAACACATGCAAACTGATGTAAACAAAACAATCAATGGCCCATACGTTAGTTATATTAGAAAACGGTAGAGGGCGTATTGCTTAGCAAGATTCGCCTATTCTTCTCTGCACTCGACTCTCTGCTAAAGACGTAGACAGTTCACTTTTATCTGGTGTCCTTTATTATTTATGAGACACTCCCTCAAACGGACTTGATCTACTGTGATCCATACCGTCGATTGCTATCTGACCTTCGCAATAATTACGCTATTCTACTGGTACGGTGAGTGAACACTGAATGCTCATAGGAGTGAAGTCATAACTTTTGTCGGTTACTCAGCCGAAAAGATACATATAATGATAAAGATGGAGAGCCCTGATTTCGAGTGACAATGGAAAATGAAAAAACTCCACCGCCCCGTGTGAGAGTCGAACTCACAACCTCTGGGTTACATGCCCAACGCTCTACCAATTGAGCTAACGGGACATCCGTCGATCAATCGGCAGGGAGGTCGAGTTCTCATCACACACCAGGCGGCAGAATCCTTCCAATTCCCGAAGTCACTCGAAATCATGCACTATACGAAGCATCGCTGGCAGGATGATACTATACAGTCTCTATATTTCCCCGTTCGTCCTCTAGCATTGTCTTTCCTTGTATACGGAAATGTCCGAAGGCAATCATACATAGGAGTGAGCGATACTTTTTGTCGGTTACTCGACCGAAAAGATACATACAGGGTGTTTGGTGCATCGTGTGCCAAATTGAAATGGTCGAATGAAGGGGTCATCAGCTATCCTTCAAGACTAGTTCACACCTTTCATGCCCTGTGGATTATTTTTAATCGTCTTTTCATCTGTTCATCGAAAAAAGACCCAAATTCCACATTCAGATTCAAATTTTGAAAAAAGTATAAGGCGTAGACTCTGGATTGTAATTCTATTCAGATATGTATTGTGTTAGAGTACTTTTAAATACAAAACTAGTGACATAAGTCATCTAGTTTTTCTTTTATTTACTCGCGAAGTTTCGAAATATGTGAAACTCAAATTAAAGCTGTGACTTTACATGACTACAAAAAAAACAGCGACCAAGATCTTCCAACTCCCTCGAAATAGTCTATCCTCTTGCTAATGATGTGTCACATGCCATAAATATTTTTTAACAACTTTGTAAATTCGCTAGAATGGTGAATAAGTCACATAAGGCAAATATTCAGAATTATGATTCAAAAAATTATTTCTGTTTGAATGATAGAAAGACAATGCTAGAGGACGAACGGGGAAATATGAAGACTGTATAGTATCATCCTGCCAGCGATGCTTCGTATAGTGCATGATTTCGAGTGACTTCGGGAATTGGAAGGATTCTGCCGCCTGGTGTGTGATGAGAACTCGACCTCCCTGCCGATTGATCGACGGACGACCCGTTGGCTCAATTGGCAGAGCGTTGGGCATGTAACCCAGAGGTTGTGAGTTCGACTCTCACACGGGGCGGTGGAGTTTTTTCATTTTCCATTGTCACTCGAAATTAGGGCTATCCATCTTTATCATTACTGAATGTTTACTCTGCTTGGAAGTGTAGTGCAGGTGACATACATTTTTGGGTTCTGTTAAATCTGCGGATTGTGCCTGACTGTGAGGGTCGTTGGACCAGTTATTGATACGAAGATACAATAATTGTTGTTTTACCAATATAAGGCGACATGGTAATGTGTCATGATCACGGTCAGTATGAATTATAATGTTTATTATCAACATATGGCAACAGTGGAGGTGAATTTATTTAACCAGAGAACACTCCTGAAAAGGGTCTTGTCAAGCAATAGGTCTCGTCGAATTCATCACTGAACGAAGTTAATTTTTTTTGGATTGAGCACATTGGATTTGAGTGCCCGACCTATATGTCGGATTATAAAGGAAACTACATTTCAAATATTGAATAGGTTTTTGGAAACCTTATTCCTTTCCTTATTCCTTTCGTTTTATTACGGATTCAATTTCGGTGGTGAAGTTCAGATATTTAGCTGAACCATTTAGAACTAGGAAAAAGCCAAATACTCAAAGTGGAATGCAATGGTTACAAATAGAGAGAAACTCAAAGTCATTACCACAATAGTTCATAAAATGAACGAAAATGGTAGATAACGAGAGAAAAACAACTACTTTCCTCGTTTTTCTCTCGTTCATTTTGTGAACTATTGTGGTAATGACTTTGAGTTTCTCTCTATTTGTACCATTTAGGTAACAAAAGAAAAATACCAAATGTCTCAAAGTCGGCGACCACACTTTATAAAAAAATATTAAAAATTACATGTAAACGGTTTCGGCGCAACGGTATCTACGAAGTTCCTCCGCGAGAATGTCAAATTGAAATCTTATCCTATAGCCATTTGCGCAGAATCCAGTGGCGTACTCAATTTTTTTTTTCGGGGTATGGTTCTGCGGATACGACTCAAACATGATTTTTTAAATGGAACGCCCTATATTTTATAATCTCATTACGTTCCTCTTTTTTCCTTCTAAATGATATATAATGCATAAATAAGAAATTTTCAAAAATGCCCCAAAATCACTAAAACAATTAATTTCAATACGTGAGCACCGTGAAATAAACACTGAGTATGCATGATTCGACGTATTTCTGTACCATTAGCATTGAAACAAACGCGCAGCCTAGAGGTACGCGTCCACAAACAATGGCCGCGGCCCCAGCTTGAAAATTCTTGTCAGTCGATATCGACTGACATGGCAGTCAGAGTGTTAAAATGAATTAGTGAAAAACTGAGAAATCGAGCTATCCACTAATTTTTTCATCATTTTGTGTAGCTAAAGTAAGTTGATTACCTTTCATTCAACCTAACAATGTTATGGATGTGAATTTTATCAATACTACACACTGCTCCGAGCTCCTTCTAACAAAATATAATTCCACTAACTTGAGTGGAATAATGTAAGTCAATAATAATGGTTTGACCTACCACAGCTACCTTATCATCATTTTGTACCAAAGTCGGTATTTTGTATTATATTTACCTTATCCTAGTATCTTTCATATAATATTTCAGTGTGATTATTCTCACCGAATACCACTCTCACTCCAATTAAAAACAAACATTTTTCCAGAACACGAATATTTTGGAAATTTTACCGAGTCGAAGAATTGAACCTCTAGTGGTATTATTAATAAAGACATATTGATCCCATTATTATAACATACCGTTCAACGTCTCCAATGGACACGGTAAGGTCCCTCTCGAGGTCCTTGGGCTCTTCGGCATCCCTCCACGGGTACTGCGCCTCCAACATCTTGGTGACTATGGCTGCATAGTCCTGGTTGCGATCCCAAAACACTGGAGGGATCACCGAAATTCTGTCGCCTTCGAGCATGTCTGAGAAAAGATATGGTCCATTTCAACCGATCTTGAATGAGGGCTAACATATTTTGATTGCCACCAGATTACGCTACTGAGACATGACAACCAAGGTTGGTAGAACTGACGATCATTTGCACAGCAAGGTTGTCTTGATCACAAAATGTGGTGAGCGGAAATGGTAATTCGTGAGGTCAAAAAGAAATTTCTTCAATTCCTTTCAGATCAAGACATATCCATATAAAAGGTTCAAACAGACATGTATGATATACAATGCGTCAGAAATTGTAAATAGCAATTTTTTATCAATAGATAATAAACGACACTAAATAAAATAAAAAGTTATAAAATTACAATTAAAATCGAAATGTATTGTATGTTTTGAATGTTTTTATCCTGATTACAGTTCTGGTTTACTGAAAAAATACTGACTTACTGAGTCAAAACTTTCGGTAACAGATAGTTTTTCAATCGTATCTTGAACCTGTTTATGCTTGAGATATCCTTGATTTCTGATGGTAAATTATTGAGTATTTTGATTGACATTGCATGGGGCTCATCCATGGCGCTGCTTAGGCGATAATGAGGAGTGCATATTGATTTATCCTACTTTTCACATACACTTAGCATGCAAGAATGTATACTGAGATAGCGGTGAGTAGGTTATATTTAATAAAAAGCTCTTTGCATGAGTGCTTCCGAGGTACTCTCGCAATTTGCCGGATTATATTTTTTGCGATATCAATACTGCCTCAGTATTTCGTGAAACACCCCAACAGATCACGCTGTACGATAGCATTGGCCATAGTAGAGCATGAGTAGAGTGGAATCACTGACATACGGTCTGAGTTCTAGAAAAGAGAGTTCGAGGCTTTCCATAGTGCCTAAGTATGTGAAACCCAGCTCAGTTTGGAGTCGAGGTGAATGCCCAAAAACTTCGTACTATTCAATTGTTATATACTAACTAAAATAATTTAAGTAATCACAACCAAAATTTCATGTTGGAAGGATAGAAATTAATGCATAATTCTAGATCACAACTGAATAGGTAAATCTACATGAAGACAGTTGTAGAATATATATTCCAAAGACAAAAACAAGGAATTTTCGATGAGATTACGTTACAAATTACCACTATCTCTTACCGCGTTTTCTGATCGAGGCAACCTTCCTGTACAAATAATCATCAATTTATTATTATATTATATTATATTATTCTACCAACCTTGAATGAGGTTGAGGTTAGTAGAACTGATAGTTCTACTTCTTCTCTTTTAATGTTGACAGTAAAAAACGCATATGTATATGGTGAAATCAATAACAGCATATTCAAGGCAAGGCCTAAGTGTGTAACGATATCTACTCTGAGGTGAGTTGTTTAGCGCGCAAATTCGGGATATCAACTAGAATACACTGGTGCCACCTATTTTATAGTGGTAGGTCCACTCGCACCGGGCAACTTTCATTGTAGAAAGTATAATCCAGGGGTCTGAGATTTCAACTGTCAAAGTGACATAACTATTATTCAACTTCTCTGTGGATTCTTAGTTGAACCAATAGTGAATGAAATGGATAAAACTTCTCGATAATATATTACAACTATATATTCTAATTGTATTTACAGTATTCCTTATATTTACTTATCTACAACAGTTATTAACATCATTTACAAAACTCGGATGCGATGATCAATACCCCTCTCGAGACATACGGTATTCGGACAAATTCAAATTGCAAGCTCGCGGTTTATTCACAGCAACAACACTATTAAATAAACTGTATACAGGGGATACCCACTTAGTATGCGTGCACGCAAGCTATCTATCGTGCATATCAATGATCAGGTGACACGTCACACTTAGATCAAAACGGCTAAATGAGTACTTATTATTAGCTTCTCCGATCTCCTTTCCTCTCTGTCTGGTCTGCTGGCATGACTGACTGCTCGGTCGCTCTTGATGGACTGATTTTTAAAGTCCCCACTCCTCTGGCTTCTAAGCAGCTCCCCCCTCCCTCGGCTGTCTGGCTGCTGGCTTTGCGTGTATAGCCGGCTAAGAGCACAAGCTATACTGATTTTCCGTATGCCTATCTGAGCTACGGCGGCTCGCGAGACGAGGTTCTCCCACTCTTCATGAATAGTGTGGCGCGCACGCGTTACGTATACTTGGATGGATATCGATCTGATATCAAATCGGCGCTTTATTAATTAATAATTCGAAATATTAATAATCAATTGAAACTAAATCACGGCCATTGAATTCTATGAATAATACTTCCGGTGTATTATGCATATCATTTACGAGAAAGAACGGAATTGTTATCTCACTATTTACTGAAGTTTGTAATTACTATACCGTATGCCTTATAAATTACTCAAAATAAAAGTAACTTCGTTACAAGTGCCATCGGGAACATCGGTCAGACACTACCATGAAGAGAATGGACCACTTCGGAAAAAAAGGAACACCAACCCTGCATTGGTTTTCTTTTTGGCACGACTTATTCACCAAGTATGACGAGACTCTCAACTTGGAATGGGCGAGTGGACTGATAATGAATTATTGGCATTCACGTACTCCACTGTGTCGTTACGAACCTGAATTAATTTTTGCAACACGCTTTTTTATGTAAATAATGAGTCTATGCGTTGTTCAAAATTGTTGAATTTCAGAGTTCATTTCGAACGAACCTTCATGGCCGCAATTTAGAGATAAGTCGAATAAATGGTGACGTCAGTTGTTGTGCTGTTTCGTTATTGGTCAGATAATCTTCCATTTTCACTCATGAGGAAGTCACCAATGGGGAAGTTTCCTTCAGATGAACTTTCATAAAATAACTTCGGAACTCTCCAGTTTTATGTCCACGCTGTACAGAATGGCGACCGATAAAGTACAAGTCGTTTTCATTCTCAAATTAAAGCAATTTCTAATTTTCGGGGAAGCAAACTATGACGTACATTTTGAATCTAGTCTGAAAATAGCTGATTGTGAAGAATATAGCTAGCGAATAGCTAACGAATAGCTGACGAATAGCTAACGAATAGCTGACGAATAGCTAACGAATGAAAAAAATAGAAGAAGTAGTAAAGCTGGTAAACAAAAACATAAATAAACACAAATGCAATCGGAGCAGGAATGCAGAGGGTAGTTGGCTTCATTCTGACAAGTTATGCTTTGGTTATTTTGTTGTTTATGCTTTGAAATATCTCGAATAGAGCTCGATCCTGAACGAAAATATCATTGAACCAATGTATCATTATCGGCTACATTCAATGATACTATCCTTCCTAATTTACTGTCATCGGTCAGAAAAGCATGAAGCCGACACCCATGGCTCTTTCCTCTTGTTGTGCCTGTCAGTATTTTGAGTGGTGTGGATGGACTCGAAGTATTAGGCGCTGTTGCAAGATATAATCTGCAACTTTCCTTGAAAATAGATCCGTTTCATTAAGGAACGAAAAACGACCGACAAGTTATGAATAACATATTGTAACATACCGATAGTGAAAAATTGTTAGTAATCAACTTCATTCAGCCAATGAGAGATTTATGATAATTATTCATAATACTTGACAAAGTAGGATTGAAGAACCTATTATATCACATTGCTGTTATGATATAGTTATTATGGATTCAAAGAACAATTTCCGGAAATCTAGACATATTGATGATGTCGGCAACGTCGTACTGGCACAGAAAATCGTATTTTGACTCTGCGTGAATGTGGATTTTCAGAAAGTACGTCATAGGAATGGTGGAGGAGCCAAGTTCCTCTTTTATTTATTGTTTTCTGAAGTGAAATGTGATCTTACGAAAAAAAGAAAAAATACCTATATATTAATTTTTCGAAAACTTCACAGTGAGATAAGAATCTCAATTCAGGAAACTTCCCCATTATAAATAAGTTATCAAAAATATGTTTAAGTCCGGTCGTTGAATAGAACATGATAGGAGGAACCCATGATATTATAGTTCATTCTTGATTTTTTCGTCCAAATATTTATTATTCTCCATAACAAAATATTATGTAAATGTTGAAGACTTGGCAACATTGTGCTGAATGCTGAGAACTGACAAGACCACGCCCACAAGTCGTCTAGGGGGAATAAATATAGGTACCTAATTATTATTTACACAAATTTATTGTAAGCAATAAGCCCAAATCATAAGGGAACATCTTGAGATAATTCAATTTTCATTTCTAATTAGGGATATTACCAATACTCAATTGATAATTTATGAATTATTGAATAACTAATATTTCTGAAGTTCCCAATCGTATTTCAACACAACTGTGCCATGGTCTACCCCCAACCTAAAAAATTGTGGCGTCAGTTTTTACTGGCTGTAAATTTCTAGCCGTTTGAAAATTAACGTGGCATTATTGATTATTGTAGCACCTAAAAATCGACCGAAAAATTCTCAACAAATATGAAATTGGAAGGTATTTGAATGATGATTCTATTTAAGAAAAAAAAATAGTCCACTCGCCTATTGAACGAATTTTAGGCATTATAGGGTTGGAAACTATCAGTTCAAACTCAATATTTTCGATTATGGGATTGAGTCAGCTCTTTATTGTTTCCTCAGTCCTACAAATTCATTCCAGCAATGGAATACCTTCAGAATGGCTAATGAAGAAGCAAAGACTATCCCAAACTATGGTAACTCACCCGTCTCCGCCTCTTCCTCGATAAACGCCTCGTACTTAATCAGATACTCGTCCAACCGCAATGGCTTCCTTTTCCCCACCACCTCTTTTCCAAGCCCCGCCTCCTTAGCTACCTGCGCGCGCAGCTCTTCCACTTGCAGCAGGAAACTGACCCGCGACAGCGCGGTGGGCAGCAGACTGGCCTGTAACAGGTCATTCAGTGTTATTACCTTACCAGATGAAGTTTTAGTACGGTAAACTGAGGTTAAGGATTTGGAAGTAAATCACAATAATGTGTTTTCCTTCCGAATTCATATCTCTAATATCGCCAGGGATGCAAACCGTTTAGGTTTAGGACTTATGTTGAAACGAACTTTTCTCCTTAAAATCAGTTTTGGATTCACTTTGTTTTATCGGCACTCAATTAATTAACACCCTGTACAAAGGGCAAATAGTTGTGAATGCGTATCCAAGACAAGTTGAAAAAAGCGGTGTAATTTCGAATGTATTCGTGAAATCTCCGTCAATAGTGGTTTGTTCACAATTTCATCATAAAATTCGTATTTTTCAGATACGTGGGTAACACAAAGATTATAAGAAAAAAAATACATCGCAGTGCAATATTACCAATATTTGGGATTCAGCGCCCCAAAATTCTCACAGAATAAATTAAATCAAAACCAGCCTGTTACTTTCCAAGTAGAAATCGCAGAACTCGAAGACATAAAAGGTTAATGCGAGTGTGAGAAATCGCTGAAATCTGATCTAACCAGTGTGCTGGCGGCTATGGTGAACATGCGCACAAATCGCATTAGGAGGTAGTTCACATTTGTTATTAAACTCATTATGAACTTCTAATTTCTTACAAGTTCATCTGGCAACTGTGTAAGAATGAACATATGTCATGTCTGACCTAGACATAGGACAGAGCCGGATTAGTTTCAGTTATTCAGAGTTTTGATTTGCGTTTAACGTCTTTTCTTAGTGAATTTGAGATTATTGAGGAGTTTTGCTATTTTACTCCAGTTTTGGTGGTTTATTGTAGTCATATTGTAGTCATAGTAACATTTAGTGTATATCTACAGTAAGTACTTATTGGGTTCGACATTCATTGACTAAAAGGGTGTATATTGTTTTCAAAATGAATGATTTGGTGTCAAGATGAAGAACAAATTCCAGGAATGTCTTACTTCAGGAAAATGTTTATCGTCAACAAGCGTTGTGCAATTATATATTTTTTCTACAGCTATAACACAAAATTGATCTTGTTTTACTGTGTTCAATATAATGAAACAATGACGTTCTCTGTATGTCATAAATTTTTCCGTATTTCCACATCTGATATCACAAAAACTTTCATTGTGTTATTATTTCACAAAATCTCATCTCCAATGAAATGTAAAATTTCAAGCGATGACAGCTCTGTCTAATAAATGAGCATTACTTCAGAGGAAATCAGATGGGTACAAGCCTAGGAAATGAAAACATTCGTTTTGTTGTGATGATTATATTATACATCTCTGGAATTAATTATATTGAATCATATTTTAGGCTAACCAAGAGTTACCACGTTGCTTGGATGACTGCTCTGGGGCGAGATGCCAATGTTGGGAAGTCGAGTCCTGCTTTTTTACACTGAACTATCCAATTTAACAGCCTACCATCGCTGGCGCAAAAACCCTAACCTCGCGACTAGAGCAGAATACGTTGATGCCAGGAATAACTGCAGCCAAACAATAGATGCTTCGAGAGAAACATACAATGCCAAGATAAGATCGAAACTCATAGATTGCCCCAATGGCTCCCGTTCGTTTTGGTCCCTTGCTAAAGCGGTCGGAAGAAATTTCACTAATAGTTCATTTCCACCACTGTCCAAATCCGACGGCACATTAGCAACAACATCGCAGGAGAAAGCAAATATTTTTGCAGAGATGTTCGCAGCAAACTCTACTTTAGATTCCCAAGGAAAACTGCCGCCAGACATTCCACCCGTTGAGAGTCGAATGCCCGAAATCGTCTTCCGTCAACGCACTATCAGACGAATTTTGCTTGGTCTCAAAACAAATAAGGCTAACGGTCCTGATGGAATTCCACCCATTATCCTCAAAAAATGTGCACCAGAATTAACACCGATTCTCTGCAAGTTGTTTACCATCTCGTACAGGTCGGGTATTTTTCCATCATGCTGGAAGACAGCTAGAGTCCAACCAATCCCCAAAAAAGGGAACAAGAACCTGCCCAACAACTACAGGCCCATTGCCCTGTTATCAGTAATCTCCAAAGTGATGGAGAAAGCCATCAATATTGAGCTTATCAAATATCTGGAGAGCTCAGGAATCATCAATGATAGACAATACGGCTTTCGCCACCGAAGATCTACTGGAGATCTACTTGCCTACGTCACCCATTTATGGCAATCTTCAATAGAAAAACACGGGGAATCTCTAGCTGTCGCGTTGGACATTTCGAAAGCATTCGACCGTGTTTGGCACGAAGGACTCCTCCACAAACTACCATCATACGGCTTACCACCTCAGCTATGCCATCTCTTATCGAGTTTTCTTTCAGGTAGATCGCTTCACGTGGTGGTGGACGGTGTATCGTCTGATACCTTTGGCATCAATTCCGGCGTTCCACAAGGATCAATTTTGGCACCAACATTATTCCTGCTTCATATCAATGATCTGTTGGGAGTAACAACTTGCCCCATCCACAGCTTTGCAGATGATAGTACCCTCCATACTGCGTTCTCTTCTAGAATTCCCATTTCTTCCCAGGAAACTAAGAACTCACGGCGCAGGCAGGTCAATGCTGTCAATGAAGATCTTGCTGAAATCACAGCCTGGGGAACAAACAACCTAGTTGAATTCAACGCCACCAAAACTCAAGCCTGCATTTTCTCTAGAAAGGCGGAACTCAGTATGCCCGATATTGTAATGTCTGGCTCCACCATCCCCACCAAGCCCACCATATCTATGCTCGGTATTTCCATCAGCAACACTCTTTCATGGGATAATCATGTCAGATCCATCGCAAAAGCTGCTTCACAAAAACTCGGATTCTTGTTCCGTGCGAAAAGCTACTTTACACCTCAACAGCTTCTCATGATCTACAAAGCGCAGATACGGCCTGTTCTAGAATACTGTTCCCACATATGGGGTTCAGCACCAAAACATACACTGATGCTCTTAGATTCCATCCAGAGAAGAGCCATTCGCCTGGTGGGTGACGCCACACTCACTCACTCTTTGACATCATTGGAACATCGTAGAAAGGTCGGCGACCTTTCACTTTTCTATCGATACTTCCACGGGAAATGTTCTTCGGAAATCTCTGCTATCATCCCTTCACTAGCAATACCAATCAGACGAACTAGACAAGCCCAGTCAGCACATCCTTTCGTTGTCAACCTCGAAAGATGTCGAACAGCACTTTATCAAGACTCCTTCATCCACAGAACGGCTAGGTTCTGGAATTCATTGCCTGTGGAAGTATTCCCAACAACATATAATCTCCAAAAGTTCAAAAAAAATTCCAATACCTACCTCCTGTCCCTATCCTCCCAAGGAACGCACGATGTTCTTTGAACATTATAGGGATTCCCTTTCGTGCGCTCCAAGCGATAAAAAAATAAAAAATAAAAAAAAAAAATTTTTCGAGAGGTCTCGGTTTTTTTAATTCAACTATCTCATGACCGAAGCTTCAAATCGAAATTCCACAAGAGTGCATTTCTTTCTGAATTGAACAGGAAATTTGGGAAAATACCTCAATTCTGAAAGACTTTGAGAAAACATAAAGGAATCCATCAAATTAAATATCATATAATTTTTCCACAATGTTTAGCTCTTTCAAGGAAGCCACAAAAACTTGGTAGTCAATTAATTCTGAAGCCGCCTCTGGCATCGTCGAGTCTCTACTGCGCATGATCACATTTGCCGTTAGAGCCACGTCAAGGAACACTTGAATAGAACGATATTGGCCTTCTAGGTCATTTGAGTTCTGTGGTAAAAATACGATTCAACTAGATTACCTGCACCCACAGCGAAGCGGGAAAGTCCTGCAAGACGACGAGCTCAGGCAGCAGGTGCTGCGGCCGCTCCTCGTTCGCTCTGTCGCGCTTGCGCTTCGCCTCTCTGCCCTTCGGTTTGACGAAGTTCTTGCGCTTGGTGAGGCTCTTGGTGAGCAGCAAAGGCAGCTGGGGGTTGTGGATCTTAATGTCGTAGCGTCGCTCGAAGTATTCCTTGAAAGGCGAGGAGATACATTTCGGTCAATCGAGTGACAACATTTTTCTATGGCAGGGAACATACACTATCTGTCAGAATAATCGATCCACTCATAATATTGTCAAGTTTGCTCATCAATAACTTTGTTTTTCTGCAACCGACACAAAAGTCGTCCATTTTGATACCAAAATTAGCTTTGAATAATTGACGTTTCTATTAATGACATAAAAATATGTATGTTGCTAGGCAACATATTTAGTTCCTAGGAGCTAACGTTGAACTTTAGTTCCTAGGAGCTAAAGTTGAACTTTAGCTCCTAGGAACTAACAAGAAAGTACTAGAATAAATAACATTGTTATGGTTGGTTATTTGGGTTGGAACGCAAACCTGATTTGTTTATGATTTCAACAGATTTGGCATTTCATACCCATGCTGAAGATATGAATACACCTTATCATAGTTAAGTATAGGAATTATAAACATCTCAGTGGAGTATTTTTGTTATGATCAGAAAAGGCTTCAAGATTCCCATACTAGCTTGATCTGTATTTCATTCATTATTCTCGGAATGGATAACTTGTTTTTGGATAATCACGACAAGCAATAGTTTTCTGTCTCGAACAATATTGTTGACCTCTATTCGATTATCAAGTCAAACACAGTGTAGTATGGAGAGGAATAAATAATCGCTATTATTATTGTTGATATGATCAATAACCTAACATTTTCCACGTCTTGTTCCTATACCTGGCCCTGGCGCGGTATTTGCCATTAGAGCACCTGGTCCATACACAAATATGTCACTCTGTGGTTGTATTTATGTTGACTACAATTCGAACATCCTTGAAAATTGGTCAAACCTGCTGTTAATGCAGGTAGAATATTCTCACCACACGGATTTTGCATTGATTTTGATTTGTTGCATTGCATACATAAGGCACGGCTTTGGTGGTTATTTCACATATTTATTTGCATGTTTCATTCGGATCAAGAGTGACTTTGTTCGACTCACAAATTTTGTGCTAGAGTTGACGAATAGACCTCCAGAAAACAAAAACATCAGTATTGTAACAGACACTCAGGCTGCACTTGAAGCACTGAGATAAATTTCAAGCTTGTATGGAGCTGTATTGAATCCCTAGAATGCCTGGGTGCAAACGACAGAGGTACTTTGCTGTGGGTGTCTGGACACCAGGAGGTGGAGGACAACGATAAAGCCGACATCCTCGCCAAACAGGGAACCGAATCTGTGTTCATAGGACCAGAACTATACTAATCGTTCCTACCCAATTCCTACACCAGAGAATCACAAAAAAACGCGACTCGTTATATGGGTTCCGGGACATTCCGGAGTAGATGAAAATGAAGTAGCGGAAAGGAGTTCGAACATCCTTCATGGGGCCAGAACCTTTCTGTATCAGAAGAAATTAGAAAAGACGAAGCTAATCAGAGATCACACATCTGGGAAAATCTCCAAGGTCTCAGACAGTCTGAGATACTACTGGGTACATATAACCACAAAAGATTGAACGCATATAATATGTCAGCCTAAGCAAAAATAAACAGAGGAAGGCAAATGCAGGTTCTGTCGAGGAGAGGAGGAAACCCCTATCCATATACTAAAGGAATCCTACGTCTAAGGTACGGTTTAGACGGAACACCCTGTGATGATATCAAATCTTCAACCTTAAATGTATTTGAATGGCGAACAAAATAAAAAGCCCACTACTTTTTTTATGAGTTTGTCCTAGAATCCCAAAAGTATGAACACCATAGACATATACTTCGAGTTTTCATTGGTTCATGACACAAAAAAACCTTTTCATAATGTATATATATATATATAGAATTCCTAATTCATACTTTGATATATTTATAGAAAACTTAAAGAATATTATCACACGTCTACCTGTGAGGTCACACATTGTAGTAGCTGGTGATTTTAATGTTAATTTTGCCTATAACACGCCGATGATTACTCAAACACTCAAAAATGTATTGTTGTTTGAATCTGACAATGTATGTGGAAGAACCCACCCGGATTTGTTCACATACAGCCAATATTATCGACTGTTTCTGTACGGACTTCAGCGAAGAAGAAGTTACATATTTTGTGACTTCTACGGGTATTTCTGACCATGAGGCAGTAATGTCGTATATTCCATTAAAGTTCTTCAACTTCCAGACACTCTGTGATAATATTGAATGGCTTAGTGGGTTGAAAAATTCTAATGCTTTCCATGAAATTTTAACCAAAGCAAATTGCCATGCCTTTCCATTAGTTGAAATAAGAGGAAAGAATAAGTATCCATGGATTACCAAAGGAATAAAGATTTCAGCATACAATTTTAGGTCAATGAACTCAATTAGGAAGCACACTGACAGCAAGTTCTTTTTGGAATATTGCATCAAATACAAATCCATTTATAGACTTGTGATGAAAAATGCAAAGGAAAAATATCATAAAAATAGAATAAACAACGCCAACAATAAACAGAAAGAAAGCACCCTCCCAGTTCAAACGAATATTAGTCCAAACATTCTGAATGAATTCTACTGTACAATAGCTCGAAAATTGATATCTCACGTAGTCCCACACCCAAATCCAGTAGCTTACCTTGAACACATACACATTACAGAGCAATTTCATTTACAAGATACAAACGTTCAAGAGTTGGGACAGATATTTGAAGAAATCAAAAATAAAAAATCTATAGGAGTTGATGAAATATCTGTTAATATTGTCAAGAAGTATAAATGCCTATGAATCAACATCACTCAAACTCCCGTTAATTCCAAGACCTTTTACCATAAATAAACTTTTCCAAATTAAAACATTCAGTACATTGTAGTTTCGATCAGGTCAGCGGAGTTCATAGACGTAAGTTCCTTTATAATTTGCAAAAAAAACGCTTACCGCGCGATGATACCTAGGTGAGCAGTATCAAAAAGTAACGACCATTCCCATTGCGGAAAATTGCGAACCTAGCATCGATTCCGAATATAAATAGTTCCCGAGTCGATAAGGCAATCATTCATTATCAACTCAGGTCATTTAGGGATCATCAATTGAAAATGTTCGCCGTCTCCCCAACTTTAAGCCTGCTGGTCAACTTCAACTCCCTGCTAGACGTTATAAGTGTTGTGTTGCGTTGTGTTTATTTGGCAAGCCATTATGTTCTTTTGCCTTTGCTAGCCTGCCATGTAGCAGCGTTTATTCATGACCTCTTCATTTAATCAATAAATGTCGATTTTATATGAAAACTGCCAGGTCTCTTTATATGGGGATGAATGGGGTTGGATGGTGAAATGATCAAAACCTCTTGTCAAAAAGCCAAGCGAGTAGCTAAGTCACGACCTATAGGAGGATCAACATCTGAGTTGCGACAATATACTCGAAAATCTGCCATATTCTGCACTCAGTGTCTTAGCGGAATCAATGAATATTTCTTTCAGGACAGGCATATTTCCCTCCTGTTTTGGACTCTGTCTACCTGAAACTGAATGAAGGTGATGCTGTTGGAGCAGTATTATGTGATTTCTCAAAGGCCTTTGATTGTGTAAATCACGAAATACTGCTTCGAAAATTGTACCGTTATGGGATCAGAGGTACTGTCCACAATTGGATAGAATCATACCTCTCTGACAATGCAAATGGTCAGAATACAAAATGTAAAATCGGAGGAATCAAAGATCCATTGTGGTGTTCCTCAAGGATCAGTACTCGGCCCTGTTCTATTTCTATTATATTTAAATGACTTAGAAAGTATTGATATCTAAGGGAAGTTTTCAATATTTGGTGATGATATAAATACAATGTGGCACGGGAAGGACATAGATGCACTGAAAAACATAATATCGATCGATTCAGAAAAAGTAAAGAATTGGTGTGATGCCAATTTTCTATGTTTCAATGCAAACAAAACAATTATTCTGACTTTGAAATTCAACTATGATAGTTTGTATCTAGAGAACAGAACAATTCTTAATAAGTCAAATACCAAGTTCTTGGGTATAACTCTAGATGACAAATTGAAATTTAATAAACATATAACGTCCTTGAACAAAAAACTAGCTAGAGATTGTTTCGCTGTCCGAATAATTAGGAAGAAAATTTGGTTTGCATTGGTTGAGTCGCATTTGAGATATGGTATTTCTTTCTGGGGCTTCTGTAGCCAACTACTGTCTAATTCCGTTTTTGTAATGCAAAATAGTGCAATACGCTATTTGTGCGGAGTTAGAAACTCCGATCACTGCAAACCTTCATTTCAGCTTTACAAAATATTAACTTTGTGCAGCATCTTCGCACATGAATCTATGTTTGATGAAACAGAAACATCAAAATATAACAAGACTTAGAACATATGAGACACGTCAAAGCAACAACATACGTTTACAGATTCCAAAATCTTCTTTAACAAAAAATTCATTGATGTTTGAAAGTGAAAAAATGTTCAATCGTTTGCCAATTAATTTGAAGCGAATGTCTGACTTATCTAAATTCCGGAAGACAATTAAAGATATATTGTATATGAAAACATACTATTGCCTACAAGAATATTATAATGACAAATGGTGATATATATCGTAACCATTTAGTAAGTTTTATTATTTTAATGTGTTTTATATATTGTGTTTTTATCATTTCTCTCATATTCAATACCTCCTTTTTTAAATCAATATTTATATTTCTAGTATCAACTTCTACTTACTTAGCATGTAACTCTTTTATATGTAATAGTATAGTTTAACGCTTTGTCAATAAGTATTTTTTCTTAGACAATAAAACATATTTTTGATTGATTGATTGATTGATATAAAAAGGTGGGAGACATGAAATTCCATTCATAAAACTCTATTTCTTTACAATCATACATACTTTCAAAATTTCAAATAAGTTGGAAAGAGATGGCTTTAAAAATGCAACGCTGTAAACTATGCGTCAATATTCATTTCTGTCACACACTTATTTCCATAATACATTAAAAAAAATAGAAAAATTAACATTATTTCAATGACAGAATTCCCATATATCAATTAAGGAACAAACATACAGAATGAATATACATAAAAAATTTATATTATAAAATTAATGTATGATAAATGTTTCCCTCGTTTTCAAACACAGGCAGTAGATCTAGGGCAATCCGCAGACATACGTCATCATCGTTTCCTGCTGAAAACGATGTTGGATCGGGACGAAATGTAAACAATTTCGTCTCTCCTCCTTTTTATATGCAATGGATAACACCATTTTACATTATTTCAATGTCGTATGCCCATATCGATTAGAGTAATCAAAATTATTATTGTATTTTTCAATAATCATTCATTACCTTGAAGGTGCAGTTGTAGTCTTCGTTGGTGAAGCGCGAGAGGGCGTCTCGGTCGTGGCAGATCTCGGTGACGAGGCAGGGTTGCGGAGGCGGAGCATTTCGATACCTTTCAGAAAAATCGAAATAATAATATGAATAATAATAATAACAATACGCTTTATCCACACAAATAAAAAATACGAAGATACTAAAATGAAGAATGCAAAATTACAAAAATACAAAATTAAAGTGCTTTTGCTTTTGGGTGTATGATAAATTGACATTCATCATACAGGGCGTGGAAAGAAATTCTGAATTGAGACTCTATCACGAATCTGCGATTAGAGGTCTATAAAAATCACAAGTTTCCATCGTTCAAGTTTGAACCCCTTGATTGGGTATGAAAGTGTTGAAAAGGAATATTCTCAGATAAATTATGAACATAGAAAAATGGATATATATTTAAATGAAGCAATACATTGAGAATTCGCATTCTTTATGATTATTCAATGTTCGTCGTGGCATATAGCCAGGAAAGTAGTTGTTTTCTATTGAATAAACTGAAAAAGAGTAGATATTCTCATCACATAGAGAATGCGAATTCTCAATGTATTGCTTCATTTAAATATATATCCATTTTTGTATGTTCATAATTTATCTGAGAATATTCCTTTTCATCATTAAAGTGCTTCCCTATCAGTTGATATAAGTTACTTTCATTTTGATGTTTTAGGCACCTGAGCAAAAATCTACAGATTGAACCCATAAACGACAAAATAACAGAAGAACAGGTTAGCTGGTGTGGTCATGTGTGTCTAACGCCATACAACTGACTTTCCTCCATGATCTGGAATACATGGAGCACTTGCCTTTGTTTGCTCTGTTATTGTCCACGTTATTTGAATTTCAACTTTTTTCACTTCCATGTAAGTAATCAATCATTGCATTTATATCCTAAGTCAATACCGGTTTTTTCCTAGAACTTTGAACTATTTTATCGGCTGATGATGGGCTTATATAAGCCCGAAACATGTACCATTGATGATCTTTGATCATTTCAATAAAAGTTGTGGAGATGACTTTGGGTTTTTCATCTATGAACTACACCACTCCACTTTGAGTTACCATGGACTTCTTCCAAAGATTAATATCAACAATTGTTCCTCCCTTTGCAGTCCCCGCGAGATTAAACCGTCGAGTTGAGGCTTCGCACCCCTTCGTGGTCCCTTTGGAGACCTGCAGAACATCTCTTTCCAAAGACTCGTTCATTCAACGAACAGCAAGGCTCTGGAACACATTGCCAAAGGAGGTATTCCCCGAGGCATATAAACTCCAAAAATTTAAGAAGAACACAAATTCCTGCCTTATTTCCCTTGGTTCTTACGATGTTCTCTGAACATTACAGGATATCCCTTTTCTTGGGAACCAGAACATAAAAAAAATTAAGTGAATATGCATATAGTTCCACGGGTATCTGAAAGAGAGAAAACAACGTGAGCAAAGTTGCCAACTTGTGTGTAGCTCGGGCGGCAAACATGCGAATAAGCGCACGCGATATGTAGGTGGAACGCAAGGTTTGGCAGTGTTGCTATGTTTTTCTCTTCATCAGATATTCGTGAACTTCTATGCGTATTCATTTCAATAGATAGTTTCCCCATGAGAAAATATCTTTTGCCTCACGTGTATATTGTAAGCGGTGAAACATTGGGCAAGGCGGCGATAGCGAAGTTGATGTGAATATCCAGGCGAATGTATCAAGTATTTGTGAAAAATAAACTCGAACCAATTACCAAAGCGTCACTATCTTCCCCAAATGACTCTCGACCCCCACTCGTAGACCCTTCTTCTCGTGCGTCGTCGGCTCGACGTTCGGCTTCACTCGCCGCAGCACGCTCATGCTGTCGAAATCGATGCAGTCGCTCGACTTGTCGACCGGCACCAGCAGCAACGTTTCGGCCTCCTCGTCGTCGTCCATCATCAGGAAGGGGTGGGCGATCTTGAGTACGTCGCTGAATACGCGCACGTGGAACTGTTTGGCTTGCAGGAGTTGGGCTTCGGTTAGGGACACCTGGAAAATGCATTGTACACGGTGTGTATTGTTTTTTCATTGTTCAATAATAAATTTATTCAAAGAAAAATACAAATATCCAACGTCGGTCGGCCACAAAAAAATTTCAATACATAAGTAGTGTTACTAGTTTCGGTACTCGGCCATTATCAGGAAGATATAAAGTATTTTTTTTTGTTTTGGATGTATGATAAATTGATATTCATCATACAGGACGTGGGAAAAAAATCTGAATGATATTTTGTGCATATCTTTATATGAAGGAGAATGCAAATTCTCTACTTCAGAAGATTTTGTTTTCAAATTCTTATCGTGTATGTTCAATAGATGTAATTCAATGTTCGTCGTGGCATATAGCCAGGAAAGTAGTTGTTTTCTGTTGAATAAACCGAGAAAGAATTGATATTTTCATCACATAGAGAATGCGAATTCCCAATGTATTTCTTTATATACAGGGTGTATCTAAATAACGCTGAAAAAAATCAAGGGGTGATTCCTTGTAATATTCTGGACTCTAGAAAATAAAATTTATATAACCATGTGTATTAGCTTGCTCCGTTTTTGAGATAGAGGATGTTGAAGTTGCAAGTATAAATTGTTATTATTTCTAACCTTCCTGTATAAGCTTCCATGGTGCCAAAATTAAGTATGGTTGGAGACTGAGAAAGCATCAATATTTGAAAATGATAAAAATTGGGGTTATTGGGTATAATCTCAATGGAAGTCTTGAAAGCACCTGCATTAAATTTGGAGTCAAATCGATTTTTTATTGTTACCTCAAAAACTAAGCTAGATACAAAAATCACACAGAGGATAAAACAGTTGTTATTTCAATAGTTCAATCTGATAAAAATATTAAACTCAGAAAAACCGGTGGCGTACAATGACATTCGCCATAAATATCGATAAATTTACCCACTGTGACGCCACTGGAAATATTATTTTGAATCTAATTGCACCAGGAGAAGCTCCATATTACTATTAACAGAACCACAACGTTTTATTGAAATTGATGAAAAGACAACTGAGCAATGAATTAAAAAACGATTTTTCATGGAAATTTCAATACCCTGTGTCTCAAAAATGAAGCAAGTTAGGACACATATTCATAATCAAATCAAACTAAGGAAATATTCCAGATCCAAAAGAGGGTTATAAGATCATTATACAATATGAAATATGTTGAAACGTGCAGAGGTACCTTCAGATCAAATAAAATAATGACCGTATTTGCTCTATATATTTATGAATGTGTCATACATCTGTATAAAAATAAAATGAATTTCACACAAAGTAATAATAGCAGATACCCCATTCGGAACAGGAATTTCACTTTTCCAACACATAGTTTAACTTCAACAGAAAAGCATCCGAATTATTCAGCAATTAGATTTTTCAATAGATTACCAAATGAAATGAAAGTGATTGATAGTGTGAAAAAATTCAAGAATCATCTGAAGAACTGGCTTACTGAACTAGAACCGTATTCTATAGATGAATATTTGAATGTAAATATCTAAATTCAAACTAATTTATTTATTTTCTATGTTTTGTGACACTGTTTCATTCTTTGTTATATGTTTTATATAAAATGTAAACCTTTTTTTGAAATAAAGTATATTAATAATAATAATAAATCAAATATACTTTATTGTCTGAAGAACGTAATTCTTATTGACAAAGTCGTTACAATTAAAAGGAATAATAATTATAAATAGAACAATATGCACACAAGTGAATCAAATAAAATTTGGTAAAACATTTTTACCGTACTGGTCAACAACAACATGCATAAAAATAATATAATAGTACAAATAAATATTAAAATTATCACAATAATATATATTATATAATAATAATATGAACTCTATTTCCTAAAATACCACAAGGAATCACCCCTCGAATTTTTTCGGTGTTATTTAGATACACCCTGTATATTTTTTAAAGTTCATAATTATATCTGAGAATATTCCTTTTCGATATAAAAAGTACCTGTAAGGAAACAACCATGAAAAATCCTACAATTACTACTGATGAAAGGAAACTTGCTAGGTGAAGCAAATAGGTAAAAACTGAAAAAAGGGGTTGTCAGCCGGAAAAACCAGTACTAATGGAACATATTACAATCTGGTTAAACATCAGAAAAACATCAAAGGAATGAATTCGAAATTACTAAAAAGTTGGATTGAGAACGACACATTATCAGGCTGACGGCCATATGACAATGAATGCACCAGGCATGACAAATAATTGACAGACTGACATTTTTGAAATTGCAATGAAACATTGAATATCCAAAACAGACAAACTTTTTGAGCAATTACTGAAGGAGGAAATAATCTGCATTAACAAATTGCCTTAGTTGTACAGGGTGGCCAACTAAGACTCCAGAGTTCGATTTCTCTGTTGTCTTGAAAGATACCAAAAAAATTCATGAATCGAAATTGGAGTAATAACCGAGCTTCACATTTCAAAATTCCTTTGAAATACACAGGGTGTTCCGTACGGTCACAACACATCAAAGCTATGTTTTTTTCATCGGAACAACCTATATTTTATTTCATTTTTGAATTCTCCCTGAAGATCTGATTTCAACGCCATATCATACTTAGGGTCTAGCAGTGAAAGTTACTGACATATAGGGTGTGCAAAATCGAGATTTTCCAAGTTCAGGATTTTTTTCTGTCGAAACTGTTCATTATTCGTCTAAACGGTTTAAATGTCCCTATATCAACTTCTCACTCACTATCAATTGGTGTTCAATTGAAATTGATACAAGGTGGTCAAAAAATCTTAATTTATAATTTGTTTCAATTGAATGTCAATTGAACACCAATTAATAGTGAGTGAAAAGTTGAGATAGGGACATGTAAACCGTTTTGACGAATAATAAACAGTTTCGACAGAAAAAAATCCTGAACTTGGAAAATCTCGATTTTGCACACCCTATATGTCAGAAACTTTCAGAGCTAGACCCTAAGTATGATACGTCGTTGAAATCAGATCGTCACGGAAAATTCAAAAATGAAATAAAATATTGGGTGTTCCGATGAAAAAAACATAGCTTTGATGTGCTGTGACCGTACGGAACACCCTGTGTATTTCAAAGAAATTTTGAAATGTGAAGCTCGGTTATTACTTCAATTTTGATTCATGAATTTTTTTTGTATCTCTCAAGACAACAGAGGTATCGAACTCTGGATTCTTAGTTGGCCACCCTGTACAGTGACCCACTTAAATGTGTCACCCCCATATTTTGGTCGTTCGAAAACTTTTCTGGAATAATTTTTCACAAATGTCTTGAATCTGTGCTCGCTTTTTCTTCATATCAACAGAATATGGCTAAATCTAAAATCTGAAATCGAAATTTTATTCGATAATAATACATATATTAATAATATATATTTTTGAATTCAGATTGACGAGCTTCATCGAATTATGGAAAAAATATAGATCATTTCATTTGGAAAAAAAAATTGTTCCGACCCCCCCCTGTATTTTGTCGATATAAAGAAAAAGTGAGCACAAATTCTCAAAATTCGTGAAAAATTATTCCAGAACAGTTTTCGAATAACCAAAATATATTGAGAATTACGAGGATAAAGGGAGGTGACACATTTAAGTGAGACACCCTGTACTTGTAAATAGAATTAGGATTTTTCATGGTTGTTTCCTTGCAGGTACTTTTTATATGTATTTGATGTCGGCCGACTGCCGAAACTAGTAACATTTTTTATTTGATTAAAAATTTTTTGTGGTCGACCAACTTTGGGTTCTTATTATTTTCCTGGTCCACTTTGAGAAAAAAAAATGGTTTCCACGACTTGACTAAATTTATTAGTTAATTTGCATATTATTATCCCACAATTCGTTATCAATTTGTCAAACCTTTCAAATTGATGTCATGTACATGGTATTGTTGATATTTTACACAATAGCTATCTCAGTTAATATTGGTCTTATAAAATGGGCAAAAATGAAGTACTTTTTATGGGCATTCAGAATCTATTACTAGAAAAAGCAAAAAAGCGTGGTAAACCTAAAATTCCTGAATGAACTGTTAGCTTTCAAACACCCTGTATCTTATTTTTCTAAACGGTAAAGTTATTTCTTCTGTTCAAATATATATATACTTTATTGGGGTTATCTTCTGTCAGTTTTTGAAAAATATTTTTTTTTTGATATAATTCTAAGGAAGGTGTTGTTCAAGTTTATGATGCTTCTATTCATTTTCTACCATTTTTTCAATTTTAGTTCAAAAAGCGTCGCGTTGATTTCAGAAGAATCAATTGTATTTCAAATCAGTCATTTCTGTTTCAAAAAGTATATAATGTATTTCAAATTCCAAAATCCATAATTTTTATTTCAAAACTATTATGTGTTTCGTCTTTCACCAAGTGTTGCTTATCTTTTGCACACTTTTTTCACCGTACTGATGAGGGCCGAACGCCCGAAACACGTGTCTACAGTTAACTCTTCATGAGGGCTATATCCAATAATGTTATGCTTGTTTGCTCAAAACAGTTCCCTCAATAATCTTTCCATGATAATTCTAGTCCTGCAGGTAGCTATAGCTGCCTCCGTGGTGACGATAGTCAGGGTCTACCACCAAGTGTTGCCTATTTTTTGCACACTTTTTTCACGTACTAACGAGGGCAGAAAGTCAGAAATACGTGGCTACGGTTAACTCTTCATGAGGGCTATGTCCTTATATTTTGCACACTTTTTTCACCGTACTGATGAGGGCCGAAAGCCCGAAACACGTGTCTACGGTTAACTCTTTATGAGGGCTATGTCCAATAATGTTATCCTTGTATATGAATATATGTTGTAACCTACTTTAGACAATTTTTTTCTGAGATGGTAAAAAAAAAATCAAATATTGCAAAAATAGTTATCAAGGCACAGCAGCATTTCATCTGGTGAGCTATGATCATGAGTTCGAGACTTTGTTGAAATACTGGGGGGGCGCCACTCAGTTTGTAACAGAATAAAAAACCAAGAAAATATAATAGATATTATCAACCTCAACTACTTCCCTGAAAGAGAAAATAATTGAAACACTGTGTGAACTCAATGGTGGTTTAATTATATGTTAAAAGTAAAACCCAGGTTAACATTTACATGGAGTAATCACTACACTTAAGTTTTCCAGGGTAAAAAACATTATCAAAATCAGATTCACAATCACTGATATGAATTATGTGTGAATTCTCTTTCATAGATCTATAACAGGGCGAACATTTTGTGTCAAAATATGTATGATAAATGTGAAGAAATGTTAAATGTCAACTTGTAATTGAATGGTATATTTAAGTATGACTTAAGCTGATAATCATAATCAGAGGGTGGTAAATGGTAATTTAATAGGAAGACAAAAACAAAAAACTGGGCATTTTAGCTCTTACTCTCATGTTCAATTCTACCCATGACTGTGGAACCAGGATGTGAACCGGCTGGTGCACCTCAGCCACAATGGGGTCCAACTCCAACCTGCAGGTGCTCTGTCAAGGCCTGCAGAGGAGACTGCAGTAGAGACTGCGGAGACTGCGGAGACTGCTGCGGAGACTGCTGCAAAGACTGCAGTGGAGACTGCTGCAAAGACTGCTGCACAGACTGCAGTGGAGACTGCAGCGAAGATTGCAGTGGAGACTGCTGCGGAGACTGCAGTGGAGACAACACCGTAGACTCCGGAGTAGGCCTAGTGGTACTCCCAGCAGGTTGATACCAAAGTATCAGCCGGTCAAATCGAGTAAGATCGCAGAGGTCGACATGATCAAACTTGACTAGCCCAGAGGAGACGTCAACCACAACCGATGTCGAGGCGTCGGACAAAATGCCCCACGAGGTAACTGGTAGGGTATCCGGTAAGGCCCACAAATCCCTAGAATCAGGACAGGCCTCACTACCACTAAAGTTTCCGGAATCAAAGTGCTGGGTCTGCATCGTGTAGCGAACCATGATGGTGCCAGAGGAAGTGAAGGAACGACACCACCAATTTAGGAAGGGCTAACTCCTGCGCCTCCCAACAAAATTCTAACAATAAAAAAACTATGAAATCATCTGCGCAACTTGAAGTATCGAAATTAACAGGAAACGTTGCTCACGTGATGATCATCCTCGTCTATGATTGGTCGGCTCCGGCGGTACTGCGGCAACCTATACGAGACTAACCGATCGATTCCGAGGCCCGAAACCCCACAAAACACCAATCATATGACCACGGAACGAATCGGAACATAGCCAGTACATAGCCTCAGTTCACGATACTACGTCATCGTACTCCAACAGAACCAATGGAACAACCTACACCAGTGAGTTCGCAGCTTGTTCGCAGCCCGCAGACTTTTTGCATTACTTGATACCACGACTCGTATGTCATTGCTCGTATGCACGAGTACAGGTGACTGACATGACATAACCCCCTCAAATGTCAAAATACTACAAATAAATAGTATCGACACAACATCATCAATATAAATTGTCAATACTTAACAATATTCTTGGAATACATAAGACCCTAATTCAAGGTAAGCGAAATTGCCTTTCAACTGTAAGAGTGCTTTTCTAACCAAAATAATTACCATTTGAAATTTGTTTCAAGTTTACCATCATACTCATTTATTTCTAGGTGGAAGCAAATCAAAAAGACATCAAGACATCTTTCCAAGAATCAGCTAATAGTATTGGTGAGTAACTTACAACCTTATTATTAATGTTGTATACTTATTATTGTTGTATACTAATATGTTTTGATATTTTTAGATAAAGGACCACTCTACACTCTGGACCATTCAAGGTAGAATACATCAAATACTTTAGTATCATGTACTTGAAATTTGAATAAAAACATTACACACAGTGTGAGTGCTTGTTCAGTGGTAGACATTGAGAAACATCCTCAAAACACTTGACAATCAATGAACTTCACCAAGGAACTGAAAATTTGAGAAGAAAGGTTAATTCTCATGTTACAATGTATAGGATGGAACTGTGAAATTTCTTTGGGTATGCAGTCAAAGAAAAACAAAATGTACTCTTGTTCTTGGTCAAGCTTTCGAGTCTTTATTGGCTTTTCATCAGGAACTCTATTAAACATTAAAATTGATATGAATGATTTTATAGTGTTCCTGATGGAGAGCCAATAAAGACTCGAAATCTTGAACAAAAGCAAGAGTACACTTTATTTTTCTTTGACTGCATACCCAAAGTAATTTCAGTTTCATCCGCAACTTAGATAGTCGTCTAATCCTCTCATCTAGCTACATATATTTTTTTTTTCTTTTTTTTTATCGCATGGAGCGCAAGATAGGGAATCCCTATAATGTTCAAGGACTCAGGACTTTCAACTATCATATATTTTAGTTTCAGGGTTTCTGGGTCTATCCCCAGCTATATCAGCTGTTAAGGACACAGTGGCGCTCATGATTTTTATCTGTTCTATTAAATTATTGATGATGGTTGAGGTCAAGGTGAAAACGACGAATCCATGCCTATTGCCTACTGACATAAGAGGTACCGTTCGCAGTATAGTGTATTGGTGAAAATATGCTACAAGAAACTTCTGGTTATTCGCGAATATCACCCCATTCACTCACCACTTTCCTGTTGACCTTGACGTGGACGTTCACCGTGCCCAAGGCCGGATAGACGGGGAAGTCGCACAGCGTGGGCAGTGGCTGGGCGGTCAGCAGGCCAAAGGTCAGAGAGGCGGCGAAGGCGTCGTAAAGATGGCCGTCGTTCGGCTCGACGCTCCGCTTGAACTGCGGCGCCAGATCAACGACGTGCAAGAAGGCGGGCGCGTTCGGCATTATCCGCCCTTTGGTAGATTGCGCGACCTGGAAATAAAAATGATTCTACATCTACATCTACAACCAATATCACTTATATGTGTCTCGCTGGTTGCATGCAGTTGCATGTATTATGTTCTCAGTTCCCATTCCTTTCGAGTTATTTTGTAGATTTTAGAAGCAAAAGTAGGTATGTTAATGTAATTTTTTGGAGTTCGTAGAAAAAGCATAGTATGTAACGCGTTCATAAACTCTTCTAGACACTCGTTTGTTAAACACTCGCTCCGCTCTGCTCCGCTCGTGATTAAAATACTCGTTACTAAAAGGACGTTTATAACACTTGTTACATAATATACTATTATTTAACTAGCAATGTTTGGATGTATGTTAGTTCGGGTCGAATCTTTGAACTCAATTTTGAGGTAGATATCTTCAACTGATTGAGCTGAAATTTTGTATACACGTTTAGTTTGGATGACAATGCACGTTAACGTGTGTGAAGTTATTCTAAATCCAATATGGCGGAACTTCCAAGATGGCGGAATAGTTGTTATTCATGCACTTCTGCAATACGGGTATCAAATGGAAGGACTTGCCGAGTATAATTAGAAATTAGGTAACATCACTCTGAATCCAATATGGCACACTGTCTGTGCAATTTCCAGCAAAATATAGTCACGGAACCGCGGAACGAAGAATGCTGCTAATTCTATTACGTTATGCTTGTACAGTTCACAAAATGCAAGGTAGTACTGTCGACTACGCCGTTATTTACTTAGACTCGAAGCTCTTCGCTGCTGGTCAAGCATACGTTGGCTTTAAGTAGGGTAAAATCATTAGAAGGTTTCCTTATTGAAGAGCTGGACTGTTCGAAACTAACCGGCAAACGACCATGCAACAATGATGCGTTGAATTAAATGAACAGAGTGAGAAACCTAGCCAGCGATAAATAAAAATTAAAAAATAAATTAAAAGTAAAAAAAAAGTGAAAAATGCTTTTATTCAAACGCACTACAAAGAATGAAATAGAATGTTCCTTTATAATTTTAACTATCAACTTATAACCTCATTATACACAATTTATATGATCATAAAAGCTTGTCGCGATGATCAATATTTGATTAAATTGAAATTTAAAAAAATTAAACTCAGCAGATTTTACAAAATTAAATCAGTTCTAGTTCATTCACACAAGTGAATCGCGCGACAAGCTTTCATCATCATATAAATTGGGTATAATGAGGTTATAAGCTGATAGTCAAATTTATAAAGGAACATTTTATTTTATTCTTTTTAGAGCGTTTAAATAAAAGCTTTTCATTAATTTTTTTTTACTTCCAATTTATTTTTCACATGTCAAAATGCGACGTGTTTGTTGTTTCAACCGATAGCAATCTGTTATTCTAGCCAATCATTCGGTATTATTCTGATAGCACTGCATGTACTCGATAATTTACATTGCACTGTTGAAACAAAACTACAGATAAAGAAAAAAGGCTCAACTACGTTAATTCACTTATTCTTATAGGCATGTGTGAAGATGAATCTATAATAATTATCACTGGACTGAATGAAAACTATTCGCTTTATAAACAATAACATTACGACGAGAGCAAGCCAACGCTGTCAATGAAGATCTTTCGGAAATTACAGCCTGGGAATCAAATCGCAAGCATTTATTTTCTCTAGAAATGCGGAACTCAGTAGGTCTGATATAATAATATATGGTATCACCATTCCCACCTCGGTATTGCCATCAGCAATGCTCTTTCATGGGAAAATCATGTCTGATCCATCGCGAAAGCTGCTTCACAAAAACTCGGATTTCTATTTTGTGCGAAAAGCTCTACTCTAGACCACAACAGCTTCTTATGATTTGAAAAGCACATCCAGCACTCGAAACTACTCTCATGCTCTTATATTATATCCAGAGAAGAGCCAGTCGTCAACTTTGCGATTCTTCTGCAATGGAAGTATTCCCAAGGACTCAAAATATCCAAACGTTATATAGTGAAGGGTTTCAATGTGAAAATCAAAATGGGGAAACCCCAGATTTTGGGGAATGCATCGGGAGTCAAGTCCTGGAATGATTTCTTTATCATATATAATATTTGGTTGGCCTTACTGACGACTTTGACGACGTGCGCACTCCAGCATAGGTTTGCTGTTGTTAAGTTGGCGCCGTTAACAGAGTGAGAACATTTAGGGTTTCGTTTTCCAAGATGTCGGACAGCAACTGGAGCACCAGTCAGTAATGGCATCTAGGTCATCCTGGAGGGTGGGTGAAGCAGTGGAGTTTATCTTGAGGTCCTCTGCCGTGCCGTGGACGGTCGGTTACATACACCAAGAACAAAATGGGCCCTACAACAGAGCCTTGCGGAACTCCACTCCGAGCAGAACGTGATTTAAAAGAGCTATCACTTACCCGAACAAAGAAACGTCTATCAGTCAGAAAACACTCCATCCACTTCAAGAGATTGCCTCGCACCCCGTAATGTACTAGCTTGTGAATTAGGCGATAAATCGGTACTTTATCAAAAGCTCGCGAAAAGTCCAGGTACACTACATCAGCGTGTTCACGATAAGTGCGTTGACAGCGGAAAGCAAGTATATTTGTGACAACGGAACGAGTAGGAAGAAATCCATGCTGGTGATTATTGACTAGGAATTCGATGAGTGCTCTACATATAATTCGTTCCATTACTTTACATGGGACTGAGGTTAGACTAATTGGGCGATAATTGTTCGTTGATAACTTGTCCCCTTTTTTGAAAATGGGTGTTATACGAGCCATTTTCCATTCATCCGGGAGAACACCAGTTTCCATGGATCTATTCATTATTATTGAGAGTGGATCACATAGTTGTTCTGCGCATCTAGATAATAAAAGAGGATGGATATTGTCGGCTCCGGGTGATATTTCAATTTTTTTTATCGTTCTAGTATGAATGAGAAAATTCAAAATTATATGTCTAGTAGTTTTTTGCAATAGAGCTCACGATGATGTCGTTTCAAACAACCAGTGGTCTTCCCCATTCTGACTTCAAACAACATTTTCAATGTCAACTTATCTCTCACGAGACGAATTTTCGAGATATTTCGATTATTCTCAGTTGTTTACGAAAAAATTTGTGCCACAGATCACCCCCAACTACCCAGATGCAAATTCTTTACCTCGAATAACACCACCGTCTACACGGAGAAAAATGTATCGTCGATATCATGAAATATCTACTGTTTTTATTTCTAACTCCACTTCTTTTTATCTCATTTTTGAGCTGGCAACACTGACGAAAACGTACGATTGCCGAATCCAGTCTCTCCTGCTATGTTGCCATTTACATGCCCTAAGGGTAACAATTAAGCAAACAAGCCAAGTTTATTCACCCACTTTTGCCACACGGCGTTACAAAGTGAAACGTGAGATAGTAACTTTTGCTTTTCAGCTTTTTCCGGAAACTAAAATTCAGATTAACATTTCAAAACATAAGGGAGCACTAAACTATAGGGAAAATGGCTCTCGATGAAAATCGCTGAATTTTTGGTATGTTGCAGACTTTGATATACTGATCAGATATTCCGTTGAACTAACCTCAAAAAATGGACAGTTTTTCTGATATTGACCTCCAAATGTCATTTTTTCGAGAAAAAAAAGTATCTGAAAATGGTTGAATTTTTGACATGTTGTAGATAGGAATGAACTGATGAAAAAATCTAATTGACATAACCTCCAAAAATTGACAATTTCCTCAATATTGACCTCCAAATGTAATTATTTCAAGAAAAAAAAATCTGAAAATGGCTGAATTTCTGGTATGTTGTAGATCGGAATTAACTGATGGAAAAATTCAATTGACCTAACTTCAAAAAATTGACAGTTTTTCGATATTGACCTCCAAATGTACGTATGGAAAATAAGATGAATGGAACAAAAATCAATAGACAAAGTTGCTGTTTTCGAATTGGTATTTGGCATTTCATTCTTCTAAAAACAAATCTTCTTCATATGATACACCCACAGGTGAAGAACGCCGAAGAGAGGATGTAATGAAATATATATTATTCAAAAGATGGTTATAGTATAGTCTTTCCGGAGTCAATGGGGTTGAAGATATACACAACCTAACCTAACCTGACTCTCCTAACCTTGGAATTGTACAGAATAACATTCTGAAGGTTTACTTTCATACAGTTGTTTGAATGCCATTTAGGGGTCAGTAGCAGTGAAACTGTCAATTTTTTGAGTTAAGGTCAATAGGGTTTTTTCATCAGTTCATTCATATCTACAACATACCTACATAATCCAGCCGTTTTATAGATTATTTTTCGAAAAAATTAGATTTGGAGGTCAATATCCAAAAAGTGACAATTTTTTTTGAGGTTAGGTCAATTGAATTTTTTCATAAGTTCATTCCTATCTATAACATACCAGAAATTCAGTCATTTTCAGAGATATTTTTCTTGAAAAAATTCTATTTGGAGGTCAATATCGAGAAAACTGTCAATTTTTGGAGGTTAGGTCAATTGGATTTTTTAATCAGTTCATTCCTATAACATGCCAAAAATTCAACCATTTTAAGATACATTTTTTTTTTCGAAAAAGTGACATTTGGAGGCCAATATCGGAAAAACTGTCCATTTTTTGAGGTTAGTTCAATGGAATATATGTTCAGTATATCAAAGTCTGCAACATACCAAAAATTCAGCGATTTTCATCGGGAGCCATTTTCCCTATAGTTTAGTGCGGGGTCCTTTATGGTCGGAATCTCAACAGAATCAAACAAGAATCGAAAAAGTTACAAGGCGATCAATTTGGCAACATTTTTTGCTGGCCGCTGTTTTTGCCGGTGAGTGTATATCTATGAAGAATATAAATTCTCTGGAAATGATTCCGCAGAGTTATCCCCACGATTCGTGATTTCATTCATTCATCTTGGCATTTAGGATTGTTGGCGTATACTTCTTAATGATTTATGATTGAATTGTGGTGTATATTTATTGTTATTCAGTCTGAGGTATTACTTCCTAACCCCGCACAAGTTTCTACTTCTGGGGAGTTGGTTCCCAACTTTGAAGTAGCGATATACAAATTTTACAAATTTGACAATTTTTTTTTTTACTTTCCGTGATAAATAAATAAATGAATAAAATCACCTTTTTCTTGTGCAACCGGCGGACCTTGGAACTGCCCACGAACAGCTCCTTTTTGGCGGGGTAATGAGTGAACAGGAAGCTGACGTCCTCCTCTTTGACCTCGTTCTTCCTGGGCAGCAGATGGTCGTCGAGTTCGCCCGCCTTGTGAAGCATCTCGCACGCTTTCAGGGCGGCGGCGCGTTTCGCCACCTTGGCCGACTTCATGTAAGGACCCTGTAGATCAATTAAACAGTAACAATAGTCAAAATTTGGAGGTCGCGTCACAGAACTCATAGACTTAGAAGGTTAATGCAAGTGTGAGGAATCGCTGAAATCTGACAGAACCAGTGTGATTACGGCAATGGTGATCATGCGCACATTGTCATCAACATTGTCAGTTATATATTTTCATACGCAAATCTCATATTTATGCATTAGTGTGTAGTTCATATTTCCTACAAAACTTCTTGTAACTGATTATCAACAGCTTTACAAAAATCATATTATGAACTTTCCACTACGAAATTCATAGACTCACTGATATTAATTGAATGGCTAACAAGAGATCCATGAATTATTATAAACTTCAAATTTCTTACGAGTTCATCTGGCAACTGTGTGAGAATGAGACTCTGTCATTTTTTCTGACGTAGACTCAAGACAGAGCCGGATTAGTTTCAGTTTTTCAGTGTTCTGCTTTGCGTTCAACGTCTTTCGTTAGTGAATTTGAGATTATTGAAGAGTTTTGGTATTTCACTCTAGTTTGGGTGATGGGTGTAGTCATAGTGACAAAAACAGTTCTTATTTGATTCGACATTCATTGACTGATTTGTGTACAGTGTTTTCAAAATGAATGATTTGGTGACAAGATAAAGAAAAAATTCAAGGAATGTCCTACTTCAGGTAAATTTATATCGTCAACAAAATTTGTGCTATTATATATAATTTTTTCTATAGCTAAACCACACAATGGCTCTTGTTTTACTTTGTTCGATAAATCAAATAGGTACTTGCCATCACCCATGAAAATGTCAAATTTCAAGCCATGACAGCTCTATCTAGTAGAAGAGCATTACTTAAGAGAAAATGCTAATTTCCCACTCGTATGATTTATGTCTGCTAAAAATCATAGCAGACGCCTGTTGTCATGATTATATTACGAAAACTAAAAATATCTAGCAAGAAGTTACAGATCTCTGGAATTAATGATAATGAATCAAATTTATGGCTAACCAAGAGATGCCACGTTGCTTGGATGATTGAACTGAACTATCCAATTTTAGCAAGGTCTCGTTTTTTTTTTATTCAATCAACTCTTAAACGAAGCTCCAATTCGAAATTTCACAAGATTGATTGATTGATTGTCTTTATTACCCCAAGAAACATTTCTGTTTATGATAGGGATACATAAATACATATAAAAAAATAATAATAAAGGGTTAACTATAATGAATTCCACTCAGTGGAAACGAATTAATATTGTGTCTTATAAGATTAAAGTTATATTTCATTCCTAAGTAATCAAATCATGCCACATATTTTTCTTTCAAATTGTCCTGAGCAAGTATTTTTTGAGATTGATTTTAAACCTTCTTGCATCATGTATATTTTTCAACTCATTCGGTAATGAATTGTATAAAATTATTCCATTGTGAAAAACAGATTGTTTGCCAATGTTTGACTTGAATGTATTTGCTATCAAGTAATTCAATTGTCTAGTCCCATAATTATGGACTGTATTGACTTCATTGAAAGTTAAATTTGATATTTTCAATTTATTCCTGGCAAAATGAATAAAGCAACATATTTCAAGTTTATATAACGAAATCAGGTTCAGAAAATGTCTTGGTTTGTATAAATTTATCGTTGGTTCTAGAAAATGTAGATGAAAAATGCACTTAATTGATTTGTTTTGTAATTTCATTAGTGGTTTCAGACGCGAAATAGTTGTACTCCCCCAAATAGAAATTAAATATTGCAAATTTGAATAAATGAGGCAAAAGTAAATACATTTCTGAATTGAACAGGGAATTTGGGAAACTATCTCAATTCTGAAAAATTTTCAGTGTTTTAATAAATAGTTCGGCAAAAAGGAAACAACTCCCCTGTATCTACTCCACTGGAAAATTTTCACAACTCAGTTGCGTCAAACAACGATCAGAGTAACCATTTCATAAGTATTTCCACCAAATTTTGTTTCATGTTCTAAGAATCATCGCAAGAAAAAGATTTATAAAACAGGACTTCAGAGGGATGTATCTCCCTGAAAGAGCTTTTTTTTAAATATAATATTCATGCCGCTTTATATTTTGAAGAACCATGGTGAATTATTGCTAATATATCCTGAACCACCGTGTATATTAGCTCGCTTATTTTTATCCAAGGAACACATTAGTTGATGGAAAATACATCGAACCATTACTCCTAATAACATAATGGAATTCATCATAACAAATATCATGTGAATTTTTCACAATGTTCTGCTCTTTCAAGAAAGCCACAAAAACCTGGTAATCAAATAATTCTGAATCCGCCCCTGACATGGTCGCGTATTTACTGCGCATGCTCACATTTGCCGTGAGAGCCACGTTAGGGAACACTTGAATAGAACGATATTGGCCTTCTAGGTCTTTGAGTTCTGTGGGTTGCGTCCATAATCTCAATAACAAAATATCTTGATGTTACGCATTGAGGGTTATTGCAAGAGAATAGGCTACTGGACTGATAGCGAATAGTTTGCATTCAATTACTGTGTCGTTAGGGACCCATAGTTATTTATGCAACAAGTTTAGGCCGAGTTGAACAACACTTCAAGTGCAATGAACACTTATTTACACGCGTTGCATACAATATATTTTTTATGTTCGTGCAAAAACCAAAACATATTTTATCAAAGTGACCAAGTGTATAAGAATAAAAAGAGTAATTAATTAGCAAAATATTCAATAATTGACTAGCACTATCAATTTGCATTGGGAAAATTAGGAATTAATATATTAGAAACTATTCAACTCCAACATTATTTTTATCATAAATATTAAAAGTAAATGTACAATTTGTACAATTTTCACTATTTATATTTCTTAACGAAATATTTTTTAATTCTACTTCTTGATTTGCGACCTTTCATGGAATCTGTTCATTGTCATTTTCTTCTGTTTTGCAACCTTGAGTCTATTTGCAAGTGATTCCTCTACGTATTCCTCCGCTACTGCCGACGATTCATTTGTTGCGTCCTGTCTCTAGAGGCTAGTGATGAAATATGTCGCGAGGCAGCTCCGACAAGTTTGCTCTATGCGCCGCGTTGACGGTTTAGAATGTAACGGATGTCTTGATTATGAATGAATTATCTCAAGAAGACATTGTGATTATGAAATATGCATTTGTTCAAAAGCTAATGCAATGAAAGGGAAAATGAACTATTGCATGACGTCGATTTGAACGTTTCTGTTTGTCATGTCAAAATATGCTGTAGTAAAATGATTTCAATAAAAATTGTATTGCACTAGTGCAAGTTTTTCTACTAAAAATAGTTCAAAAAAGGTTTGTTTATTACATGAACGTACAAAAAATTAATGTTCGCAACACTTATGCATTTTTTATGTAAATAATGTGTGTGCTTTGTTCGAAATTATTGAATTTCAGAGCTCATTTAGAAAATCGGAGCGATCCGACGATGATCTTCATGCTCCGAGAATTTGTGAGGTTAACTGTTAAATTGTTCAAATTTTAAGTGCGTTGTATTATTTTATTATTCACTTTATGTGAATTTCTTGAGAAAATTAATGTTAAACAACAAATCTAACCACATAAATCCGTTGAGTAATATATGTCTTAACAAAAATTAAAATAATTTTGACAGATTTATCATGACAGCGCTCTGCACCGTTCGTTTATTCCAATTAATCTCTCTAATCCGTGGTCACATGACAAACAAATCCCTCGCATCTCAGATGGAATTGCCGAACTCGACTATTATGTTATGCTGTTTCTCTATTTGTCAGATAATCTTCCATTATTACTCATGAAGCAAGATTGTCAAGTCATCAATTATAATCAAGTAATTAAAAAGTTGTTAGTGACTCGTCGTTGACTACTACATCCAAATTGAATATTTCCCTATTTGACCTAATAGGAGGAAGCTATATTAAAGTTTTTCATTTGTCACTTTTTGGAGCAACCAGAAATCAAAATATTTTTTTCTACAAACGCTTAACAAAGTAGCCTTTGACGCTTTCAAATTCCAGCACAAAGTTGACATTTTCCCTGAAAAGTCATTCTTTAGAAGCATTTGCGTGGAAATATTGAAAAAACGCTCGCACATCTATGTAACCTATACTTATCTATTCTTGAAAACCCCCAATTCTTTCATGATGGAAAATAGTGACAGTGAATCATCAAACACACCTCCTTCCTGATGATATAGCAGAAAGCGCAAGAGTTTCAATCTCTTACCGGAGAAATCAAGGAAGAAATATGAATTACAATATGATACATTCATAAATTGGTGCCACTCCGAGATGGTGAATATGTATGTATTCAGAAAACGTTTTACTGGCTTATTTTGGTAAAAAATCAAAGACTTTGAAGTCATCAACTCATTGGTCTATATATTCGATGGTACGTATACATGCTTGAATGTTAAAGATAATATCGGAATCAATAAGTATCTGAAACTTATCGCATTTCTCAAGAAACAATCTATTGGATATAAAGCGAGAAAAATCCAAAACATTCACCGCTGAAGATATATACCAACAAATTTCTACAAGAAGCTCCCGATGAAGCATATCTGTTGAAAACGATAAATTATACATTATATTTAAACTCTTTGTTGTCATCAGAAAGACAGTGTATCTTTATTTTATCGCATCAATGAGTAATGTTCAATTTGGTTGCAGAGTTTATCGTACTATAGCTCAGAGGTCTGAAGCTCAGGTTGCCACGCTGGTGGTCCAGTTTCAATTCTCGGTAGGCCCGATATTTTTTTTCTGTTTTGTTAGTTATTTCAATTTTTCTTTTTTTGTTTCCTTTGGACATATGGGATAATATGGATAAGAACTTTTTTAACTATTTCAATCGCTCATACTTTCAGGGTAGTTATTTCCAAAAGCTGCGTTAGTAGAAAAAATCTTGTGTGTATTTCGAGCGCAAAGTGATAGATTGCCGCTCGACAAAGAAAGTTACCGCGCGATGCGGAGCGGAGCGCGGTAATCTTTGGAGAAATAGCTATTATACTCCAACAAAATATCATGTAAATGATAGCTGGAGATTTGGCAGCATGTTCTGAAAGCTAACAACTGAAAACACAACGTCCACGATCCTTACCGTATTTTCACGTTTACCCACCCAAATATCTAGTGTGACTTAATATGATTATTATTTTAACAAATAACGTATTATAAGTAATAATTCATAGGGTAAATTTCAAGAGAATGGATTTCATAACTAATAAAGAATATTATAAATACAAATTGAGAATTTATGAAATATACATAAGACAACTGTGCTATTGTTACGAAATCGTGATGTCAGTTGCTATTTGCAGTAAATTTCTATCCGTTTGAAAAGTACCGTGGCATTATTGATGATTTTGGTATCTTAAAACCGGCCTGAAAAAATAAAAAAAGATTGAATTGAAAGGTACTTGGGTGATACTATTTAAAAAATTTGAAAAAATAGAGATCCCGCCAAATTTATGTATACTCCTCTTTCGGCGTTATGACCACTTTCAGCAATATGTCCAATGAGGTAGGTAGGTAGATGGCCGCGTGGTGGAAGCGTTAGTATTCTAATCGCGATGGCTTGCCGGTCGTGGGTTCAAATTCAAACGACTGCAGAAATGTTTCTGATCGCCGACGAAGATGTTTGAGATTAAAAGGTAAGGCCTCCGTCATTTCTTGCTCGCACAAGTCTCTTGACGATTTCCGAAGATCGTAAAGGGGCAACCGAATGACGGTTAGAACAATTTTAGATAATTCGGTGATTTGACCACTTTCGGCAAAATATCCGAAAAACTGTTTCGGCGTTTCGACCACATTCGGAGAAATGTCCAGATAGATGTTTCGGCGTAATCACCACTTTCGAAGATGTGTCCAAAGAATTCTTGTGACGTTGTAACTAAAATTGAGCTTTCGGTTTCGCCCCTGAATCCCGATCTATGCAGCGTCGTTTTATAAGTTTCGGCTACATGACACTGTAGGCAACTTGTCTAGTGGGGTTTTTCGGTATAATGACCACATTCGGCATAGTGTCCACCAATCTGTTTCGGCGTTTTGACAAAAAAACCGATGACTTGTCCATTCGACAAAGTGTCATGGACCCTTACTGAGCTCGCAATAAAGCTGCAGAAGGAATCTTCTGTAGCTTCATATAGCCAAGAACTCTACTTCAAGGCCACTGAAGACCGGGGCTTATCCAAGCATCCATACTATAGGTAAAATTACAGTGAGTAGATTAAATAGAGTGGCAATGATAGACCTCTAAAGTGGCTGCCGTTTACGAAATGTCATTAGTAGTCAAGTCACGAGTCACGTTCGGCATTTACATCGCAGATTAGAGCAGATTCTAGTCACGTGGTCACAGATAAATCGGAGCAATCGGCAATAAACGAACGAAGTGGACATTTTGTTGACAGTGTGACGGTAACCCAACCAAACCCCATTCATTTATTTCATTTATTTCCATTTCAATATGAGTAAACCAGAAATTTTCTTGTTCTTTTTCCAAAAGAATCGCAGCCAGAGTCAAATCTATAAAAAAAATTATTTTGAATTCATCATCTGAACACATTAATTAAATGTGTTCACTTACTATTATTTGAGACAATTTTCTGATAATTCTCATCTGACACCATAAAGGTGTGTGTTTTGTCTTGCTCAGAATCAAAAAGTTGTATTTCTTTCATTATGAAAACGTTATTTTGAATATACGAATACGAGCACAACGGCCAGTCATACATAAACATTTGAACATTAACCTCACAAATTCAGATCAATCGCTTTGCTCGGTCAATATTCTCCGAGCATTAGGATCTTCGTCAGATCACTCCGATTTTAATTGCCGAACGGATGAGATCTACTTCCCCTACATCTAGATGTCATAAACGAACGGTTCAGATTCATCGGAGCAGTCTGATGTTAATACCGAACGCGACTACTGAAAAGCTAAAAATCTGGAGGTATATCTGCAGTAATGAATTTGCGCCTTCGAAGTGCCCACCTGAATAATTTGAGACTTCCTAAAAGATGGATTCTAATAGATATTATCCAAGGTACCGATGTATAGAGTTGCATGTCTGATTGTTGGATGTATTATGTCCAAACAGCAAGAAACAGTAACAAAGTGACATAGAATGCGTAGAACTGTCTGGAGAAAAGGAAACACGCGGATGCACCTCCATATTTGAGATCTGACCAATCAAAAAGTGCATTACTATTGTCGCCACACGAACAAATAAACATGCATATAATAGTCACTCTAGGTTAAAGCATCCTACAAACAAGATTGAAATTTTATACTCACCGCAATCAAATCTAAAACGGGACAGATCGTCGGCAAAAGGATGACCACGCTTAACATTTTCTCTTGGTCTCTATCACTTGTAGATTTTCCTTTAATGTACCTGTAATAAATAAAAAATTCAAATACTTGAATGCTGTAACTGACTGCTGGCTCAGACCGCCCGAATGTCTTCAGAACGATTAAATACGCTGATTTCTGAATGAATGTGTATTACAAAATCAATGACTTTTATGGACTGAAGAAAAGCAATACTTGACAAAAATTGTGAAACTCGAATGTACCTCCGTATACAGGAAGATGAACATAATAGTATATTATGTAACAAGTGTTATAAACGTCCTTTTAGTAACGAGTAGTTCGAGCACGAGCGGAGCAGAGCGGAGCGAGTGTTTTAAACGAGTGTCTAGAAGAGTTTATAAACGCGTTACATACTATGATTTTTCTACGAACTCCGAAAATTACATTAACATACCTGCAATTCCTGCTAACCTACAAAATAATTCGAAAGGAATGGGAATTGAGAACATAATACATGCAACTGCATGCAACCAGCGAGACACGTATAAGTGATATTGGTTGTAGATGTGTCCAGTCCATTGCTTACTAACCTTTGATTCACGTTTATTGTCATGCTTAGCGCAGAATAAATAAATTGTTCTCAAAGATGGATGCTTCATTTTTACACTTCTTGGAGATATGCAAGTACCAGAACATTCTCTTCGATTCCATTTTCGTCTACTTTTCGCATATATTTTTAATGAAGAATTCTGATACAAACGAATATTGTTTGAATAATTCTGATACAAAATTCAAAAATAACAGTTGACAGTTAATACAATTGACAGGCCAGGCATGTCTCGAATTACTGAAGCTGTGTTTAATGAACTGCGTTGCCATGGTAATGTGTTTAAGGAATCGTGTTGCCATGGTAACATGTTTAATATTTTGAATAAATCACAGATCGACAATCCGTGATTAATCGATCATTTAGCGTGGTACATATCCGTACGCTAAATGCCATTTTAGTTATGTGAGTAGAAAAAAAAATTATATTCAACAACAAATGCTTCTGTTCAATACAGGAACCAATATTTCCAATGACTACAGTATTTTTTATTGTCTCTCATAGGAAATCGTAGTTTCATTGATTTACGCAATTATTACTGATTGAACCTGAATGATTGCTATGGCGAACAAATAAACATGCTTCAATTCTTCAATTTGATTCCACCAATTAGTATTCATACTGCAAGCACATACAGAAACCTCGAGAAATAAATGTTTGTATATTTTTATGTACCTAATCAAGACAAATTCCATTATTTGCTGGAAATAAACGGAGTTAAAAAATAAGTACCAAGTTTGAGACAAATGGGCGAGATATTGTCTCGATAATAATAGAAAAAATCCTTGTTTTTCAAGTTCATGATAATATGCTCAAATTTTTTTCTCGAAAACGAAGCTAGATATGCAGAAAACACAAGCGACCCGAAAGTTGTATTTTTATATGCTCAATATTGAAAAAAAATCTAAAAAAAATGTCATTGGCGTAAGTACTTTTTTTCGCAATATTATTGACTGTGGTGCCTAGTGAGACGCCTCCGGACCTAATAATTTCGATCTAGTTAGGGCTAAATATACTTCAATTAACCGCCTGAATCCTAAATTTCTGTCCAGCTCTCACATTGCCTTTCTACTAATAAGTGAGACAATATCTTTTCAAATTCAAATTGAGACTTATCAATTCCAAATTGATTAAACACATCCAAATTGGTAAACAAATTCAAAATGAGAATTAACACAATCAAATTGGGAATAATCATTATCAAATTTAGAATTAACATTTACAAATTGGAAATTAACACTATCAAGTTGATTAACACAGTCAACATGTTAATAAACTCTTTCAATTTGGGACAAAACAACTTCAAATTGGGAAACGACAACTGAAAATTCGAATTGTCAAAGTTGTGTCAGAATCGAGATTAAATAATTGTTATCATTAATCGTTCCTGATATTTAATTGAGCTGATATACCTTATATTTAAAAAAAGCATGCAGACAATATTAAAAAACAAATGTGTGCAGTTTTTAATAATAATGGTGATTGGAGGGGACTGGCATATACACTCGGCGTGAAAAAATCAACGGCTTATCGATGGGTGAACAATCGGGACGACGTAGAAAAACAACGCGGAGGAAGTAGGAGGAACAAAATCACTGAAGAACATCATGACATAATTGTTCAGTACATTGAGGAAAATCCCAGACTCACATTTAAAGAACCGACACAAATACGAGGCAAACCATCAAATTATTGTTTCAACTTTAGATTTTTTGTTGTATACACTGAATGATATTCGTAAAGAACCCAATTGCGAAGAAAATAAAATAAGACGACGTGATTATGTACAGGGTGGGCAAAATTGGGCGTTTTCACTGTCTATCTCAATAACTAGAGGAGTTATTGAAAAACCGATATACATGTTCCGGGTTCGATTTTGGAGAAACCTCGAATGGCACAATCAAAATTTAGATATCTTCATTCGTTTTAGAGATACAGGGGAAAATTGAAAATTTGCCGATTTCGATTTTATTTTTTGACTACTTTACGGTGAGAGGTATCATAAAATTTCAAACGTATATTTATACAGTATGATGCGTGGAATCCATTGGCATCATCAGAAATTTTATACAGGGTGACGTTGAAAAGATACGGCAGCCAATTATGTTTTTTCTAATGGAACACCCCGTATATTTTGGCACAGTTGAATAGTCCCAGGCGTTCTCATTACAAATATATATATAACCCTACCTTTTCCTTCCACAATTTCAGATATATTCGCAAAAATATATTCAGTGTGTCACATTTCTTATGGTTACACCCCCGTATCTTCTGTATCTGGAATTTGGACATCTTCTATAAGGCTATATTTTTCAACGCAACCTACTGATTTCCTAATTGAGTAAATTATTGGTCTTATTTCTGTATCTCAAATGTCTTGATAACAATGATATCAAATCGAATAATTTCCCATTTTATTTCTCGCCAAATATCCATTTGTCTGGAAATAACATTCCCTATGATATTCATTTTCCACCTTTGGTGAATATATACAGAGTGTCATTTTCAACCTCGATTCTGCCTGTTGATAGCATTATCCAGAAATATCGATGATTCCATAGCTGCTGGCGAGCAGTGTTATCATTGGAGATGATCCCACTTGGTCCATGACTCCATGAGTGTATCATTTGTATCTTTTTGACAGTTGCGAATTTTTGAATCCTACCTCAATTATTTTTACAGAAGATACGGGGGTGTAACCATAAGAAATGTGACACACTGAATATCTTGTTGCGAATATATCTGAAATTGTGGAAGGAAAAGGTAGGGTTATATATATATATTTGTAATGAGAACGCCTGGGACTATTCAACTGTGCCAAAATATACGGGGTGTTCCATTAGAAAAAACATAATTGGCTGCCGTATCTTTTCAACGTCACCCTGTATAAGATTTCTGATGATGCCAATGGAGTCCACGCATCATACTGTATGAATATACGTTTGAAATTTTTTGATACCTCTCACCGTAAAGTAGTCAGAAAATAAAATCGAAATCGGCAAATTTTCAATTTCTCCCTGTATCTCTAAAATGAATGAAGATATCGAAATTTTGATTGTGCCATTCGAGGTTTCTCCAAAATCGAACCCGGAACATGTATATCGGTTTTTCGATAACTCCTCTAGTTATTGAGATAGATGGCGAAAACGCCCAATTTTGCCCACCCTGTACAGCCGCTTTTAATTTGTCAAGGGGATAACATTCCAATTATATACATGGATGAAACCAACTTCAATTTATTTATTTCTCAAAGACAAAGACGCTCTAAAAAAGGAACCCGTTGCAGTTACATTTCAGCTGGTAGCCGTGGGGCAAATATCCATGTCATCGGCTGCATAGGTGATATGGGATTGATTCACCACAAAGTAAAAAGAGGTGCTTTCAGAAAGCCAGATGCCCAAGAATTCATTCACAATTGCTTGCGTACTGCTGGAGATATGTACCAGACGCCTGTAGTGCTGGTGGTGGATAATGCTCCTTGCCATACTAACTTAGAAGAGGTATTTCGTGAGGAAAAGTTAGCAGATCACCGATTATTGAGGCTGAGTCCGTATAGTCCAATGTTCAATCCTATCGAACTAGCGTGGTCCAGTTTGAAAGCTGCTGTTAAGCGAGATTCATCTATGCAGTTGCCAAAAATTTTAGTTGGAGAAGATAGAGCAAACTCAAACTGAGTATCGTCTTCGTCAATTGGAAAACATCATACATGAAAACATTATTACAATTAATATTAATAATTGCACTAGATATGTGGCACATGTTCAAAGATTCATTCCTGATGCTTTGAATTCAATTAATATGGTCATGTGAATTATTTTTATTCTCCTATCAAAATGTATTTATAAGAACTGTTTTTATTGAATCTCCTGTTTGTTATTAACAGGCTGGCAAATGAATCAATCAATTCCATATTGTTTAGTTCCAATTTGAAATTGATTAGTTTCAATCAGAATTTGTTTAGTCTCAATTTGGATTTCAATCTGCGCATGACCATCTTGTCCCAATTTGAATTTGGTTATTTTCATTTTGAAAGTGATTAGTCTCAATTTGAATTTGTTTATTATCAAATGTAAAAACTTCACAAACGATAAGATTTCCACAAAATTCTCAAACACACGACATGTTTCGCTAACACAGTAGCTTCGTCAGGTGATCAGGGTGTTTCATGAGAAGACTCACATAGCCCAATGTATACAGTATGATGCAAATGTATGGAATAAATTCATTTCAAAACAAGACGACTTTCGAAAAAAAAAACAAAAACTAGAGTTTAGAACTTTTTTTCGACGTATTTTCTTAACTAGACGACCCTTCGATGTTCAATTCTCAGTAGCAGACCTCTGCAAGATTCAATTAATCACATGATAATCCATTTTAATTTCAATCTTCTTATGCAACATTTTGACTGTTGAATGGACGATCGGTAGACCTTTCAATCAAGTTGTCACATGACCCCTATTTGTATTTGAAAAAATCGTCCATTACGTCTTTACTCCAACACCGGTGACGTAACATCTCTCATATGAATATCATGAGATGAGGCTTCAGAAATTAAAACTCACGTGTTTTTGGAATTTTTTCAAATGTCGCCCATTTCTGAAATAATGAATTTATTCCATACATTTGCATCATACTGTATATATGAAAACATTTTTTGACCCTCCATAACGAAGGGTATTATGTGAAATTGTTATATTGATAGATAGATAGAGTTTATTTAACTATGTTACATACAAGTATGTTTATAGCAGGTCAGCAGGGCAAGGGAAAAGTAGCACAGTAAAGTATCAATACTAACATATTAAAATACAATATAGTGGTAATTTTGAAAATGTGATAAAAATAATTAGTATCTGTAATATATATCAAAGAATTACATGACAAGCGTATATGATATGATAAAAAATGACAAGTATCAATAAAATAATTTGAAACAATCACATAAATGAATAGATAAATAATAAGATCAATTAAAAAGTTATAAAAACAATGGCAAACATAAAAGCTATGTTGCCCTATGTAAGTCTAAGCTCTAAGAGATTTCGATTTTTGGAGGTATTCGGATATACTGTAGAAACAATTGTCAAGAAGAAATCTTTTGATTGTTGTTTTGAATTTTTTTGGTTCCAGTAGTTTAACAGATTCATGAAGAACATTGTATAGATTGAAATTCAAAGAATTCTGTTGGCTTACAACTAGTCTATGTCTTTGAGGATTCAACAAGTCTGCGGATCTGGTGTTGTAATTATGTATATCCGAGTGCTTTATGAATTTGTTCTTGTTATTATGTATTTCCAGTAGAACTGTGAATATATACAGGGTAGGGAGTGGCATAATACCTAATTTGATGAAGGATTGTTCACAATGATCTCTATACTCAAGATTTGCTAGAATTCTTATAGCCCTTTTCTGTGACCTGAATACCCTATTCGCATTACAAGAGTTGCCCCAAAGAAGAATGCCATAGGATAAGACAGAGTGAAATAGAGAAAAGTACGTTATTTTCAGTACACCAATATTAGTAACAGGTTTAAGTTGCCTCAATATGAATAAAACACTAGATAACTTACTAAGCACCTGATCTACATGACTGGACCAATTTAATCTATCATCAATTTTTAAACCCAGTAGTGTAATATTATGCCCTTTTTGATACAGAGGATTTGAGGAGACGATCAAGTTTTGAGTTTTGTTCTCGTTTAGTTTGAGTTTATTTCGCGTAAACCAATTTTTTGCAACGTTCTTTTCGAGTTCAGCAGCTACTGGTAGTGCGTCATGCAGCTTACCCGAGCTTATGAGGGTGGTGTCATCAGCAAATAAAACGCATTTTATAGGTTCGATAGACTGACATAAGTCGTTTATGTATACTAGGAACAGAAACGGCCCAAGGACGGATCCTTGAGGTACGCCATGTTCGATATGTTTGAGATCTGATTTCTTGTTGTTTAAATCAACATACTGATACCTATTGTTCAGATAGGAACTGATGAGTTCTAAAATGGTACCTCTCAATCCGTAATGAGCCAATTTGTCAATGAGTATAGTGTGTGATACACAGTCAAAAGCCTTGGTCAGGTCGCATAGTGTTAAGGAAGTATGTCTGCCCTGATCAAGGCCCTCAACTATGTCGGTCACTATGTTGAAAACTGCCTGAGTGGTGGATTTGTTCTTACGAAAACCATATTGTGATTTACTGAAAAAAAACCTATTTTCAAAGTAAGAATAAAGACGTTCTTTCAGAATTATTTCAATAATTTTTCCTATGATAGAATTATATTACTTTGATGGCCGATATTACAGGAATAATTCATCGTAATCTGCTGAAATTTGGCAGCGACGTATCTCTACTGAAACTATTCAAGATAACATATTATGAAAAAAAATATCCAGGTCCGGACTTGGGAAAATTTCATGTTTCATTGTTATGTCAAAAAAGTTCACTTTGTGACCACTTTCCTCGAAAAATTCCATCAGATTCAGAAAGATCAGACAAAATGCTATAAGAACTGCTCTTCAATTTACACGGCACACTTTGACCGGTTCAATAAAAAAATATGGAACAAAATCGTTCCAATGAATTTAAAATTTCGACCTGGCTGATAACTGCCAACTTTCAACTGGTATCATGTGAATTGATTTTTCCTACATTTTTGTTGAATATTAAGTGACAGAAAGATAGACGAGAAGAAAAAACACGATATTTTTTATCGAAATTCCAGATAGATATTATTATTCCTTTCTTTGTTTCAAGGGTTCCAATTGAAGTAATGATAAGATATCTAGTAGGCCCTGTTTTCCATGTGTGTGAAGAGACGTGACGTTTGTTGATAATCCGAACTGATTGGATGTACTAGGCTAGTACTAGGTAGGTACTAACCGATGAAATTACGACATGAGGATTCATGTGCCCATATTATGGTTATTTATCAAATTAGTTATGCCATCACGCATAAACTCAGCTCCATTTTTTGTTATTGATACACTTCTGCAAGTGATATAAGGATGCATTTGCTATTTATTCAAAATTCCTAGTGTTCATCCTTGTGAAGGTTTTACTGCAACGTATTCTTGGGTCTGGAAATATTCTACGGTATTGAACATAGCATAGGATTTGGATTTTCGTCTTGTTCAGCATTTGAAATATGAAGTGGCACCTAGAGTGCAATAATATTCCGATTACCAGTGTTTACCTATCAACAAACGCCACGTTACATAAACTAAAAACAGGGTCTACTTTATAACAAATTCATAAAATCGAGTCACGAGTAATCATATCTATCTAGTAGTTCGGTCAAAAACTAACATGTCAAATCATAAAGAAATCAAAACTACTCTCTTCTGTCAATTTCTATCCAATAAAAATGTACAAAAAAATCAATTTACATGAATCCAGTTGAAAGTTGAGAGTTATCAGCCATGTCGAAATTGAAAATTCATTTGAACGATTTTGTTCCATATTTTTTTATTGAACCGGTCAAAGTGTGCCGAGTAAATTGAAGAGCAGTTCTCATAGCATTTTGTCTGATCTTTCTGAACCTGATGTAATTTTTCGAGGAAAGTGGTCACAAAGTGAACTTTTTTGACATAACAATGAAACATGAAATTTTCCCAAGTCCGGACCTGAATTTTTTTTTCATAATATGTTATCTTGAATAGTTTCAGTAGACATACGTCGCTGCCAAATTTCAGCAGATTACGATAAATAATTTCTGTAATATCGGCCATCAAAGTTATATAGCAATTTCACATAATACTCTGTATCTTCGTTATGGAGAGTCAGAAAATGTTTTCATATATATACATCAACTCGTCTTGATTTCCCCTATCAACCATTTGGCTATGTGAGTCTTCTCATGAAACACCCTGTATATACCAGTATATCACCTGACGAAGCTACTGTGTTAGCGAAACATGTCGTGTGTTTGAGAATTTTGTGGAAATCTTATCGTTTGTGAAGTGTTTACATTTGTTTATTTTCAATTTGGATGTGTTAAATCCATGCTGAATCATTTCATCCCATTTTGAATATGATTATTCCCATTTTGAAAATGATTAGTCTCAATTTGAAGTTGAAAAGGTATAGTTTCTACATACCACTCTGGCGCCAGGATGGTATAAATGTCCGAGGGAAGACAGTTGCAATACTGACAGAGGAGGGAAATGGCAGACTGCATGTTGACCTGCGCTGAGCCAGGTCCGTCTACGTAGTAAGGCGGCAGCTCGTCCTCGTTGTACATCTCTTCTATGGCCCGTTTCGACGGTTCCAATCTATCTTTATTTTTTCCGATCAGATACTAAAAGAAAAAGAATATGTTTTATTTCGGAAATAAAACACGTATTCAATTCAATGGTTGTTTATTCAACAATCCGTGATCCACTGCACTACAATCTTTCAATACCCGATATCCGTGAAACACAGAAAAATGTGTCCCTACTTTTTATATCTGAAAAACCCGAGCAGATATAAAAAGTGGCCCTAGGAAATATTTGCCAATACATTACAGAAAACAATCAATATTTTTATTTATTTATTTCATTCTTTATATAAACTGAAAATTTGTTCTTTCATCCATTTTGTGAGAAAAAAAATAAAAATATCCAACTTGACCTTTACTGAAGTAAATACAATTCTGAGTATGCAACGAGACAGTTGAATTCATTAATAGCAAACCCATATAACGGAATCATTTTATATAATTCATTACCTTATGATTTGAAACATATTGATGATGAAACAAGATTCAAAGTCAATATGAAAAAATATATACTCATGACACTATAAACGGAGCAATTTATTCTCATTTGAATACTTGGAATGATTTTTTATTTTAATTATTATGTTGTATTGACATAACTTGTTAATTAGTTTTTTTTTAATTGTTTATATGTTTATGTAGCCCTATTATAAACAAATATGTTTCTTGGGGTAATAAAGAACAACAACAACAACATGAATAATCAGACAGATTCATATCTGATATGAGATTATTCATGCGTTATCAAATTAAATTATAGTTATTGAAATGAACAACTGAATCAAAAAAATAATGATAATAAAACAAAAAGCTCATGAAAAGTACATTATGACATGATGAAATAAATTAGTGAATGAGAAATCATTCACTCAGGTTTGATTTTCTCTTTGCAAGAGGATATGTTTCTTGACTTTAATTTTGAATTGGGTGATATTTGTGCAACTTTTGAAATCATCAGGAAATTTATTGAATTTTGAGATTGCTCCGTAAGTGAACTTTTGAACCAAGTGTAGAATTAGCAGCATCAAGATGAAACAAGTCATATTGTCTAGTATGATGATCATGGATTTGAGAATTCCTCACCAATATGAAGTTAGATTTGAGGTGTTTGTTGATAATATGAAAAGAAATTTTGAGAGTATTCATCAGATAGTGCTCTTCCAAAGAAAATGCATTTGTTTCTTCATAAAGCTGATTTGATGGGGGTGTCATATGGAAGACGATACAGTACTTGATGCTTTTTTATACAGTACAGATATGTTGTTGAAATTATTCTTGGAACATGAACCCCAAATATTTATGAGATAGTTCATTTTACTAAGGATGTGAGAGTATGGAACGGTATTTGCTATATTTGGGATGAGTTTTGGACATCTTCTCAAGGCACCAACTATGGGGGAAATTTTTTCTTTGAGCATGTCAATATGCTTGACCCATGTTAACTTTTCATCAATCCAAATACCAAGGTATTTGGTATGGGCAGTTTGTTTCAATCTTTCATTTTTTATTCTAATATTCAAATCAATATTTTGTTTATTTCTTTGATGGAAAATTATATACTGGGTCTTATTAGAATTGAGGGAAAGAAGATTGGAGCCATTCTTCCATTTTTTTTGAAATCCTCATTCATGTTGTTTTCTAAAATTACAGGGTTTTTGATTTCAAATAAAATTACTGTGTTATCTGCATATATGGCATAGTTTCCAATTAAATTCATTTTTGAAATGTTTTGAATGTATAAAAGATACAGAATTGGGCCCAACACTGATCCTTGGGGAACTCCTTTGTTTATATATAGTATTTTAGATTCACAATTATTGATTTTAGTACTGATAGTCCTTTTTTCAAGATATGTTTTCAAGAGATTGTTTCCAATACCTCTGATGCCCATTGAATTAAGATTTTTCAGGAGGATATTGTGGTCAACTGTATCAAATGCTTTTTTTAGGTCCATAAAAATGGCTACTACGAAAATCCCTTTGTCAAGTCCCTCTTGTATAAACTTGATTACTTGTAAAACTGCTGACTGTGTACCACTTGAAAACTAAACTGATTCAAGTCAAACCCATATTTTTCATTGATGAAGTCAACAATTATCTTTTTTATAACTTTCTCAAGCATTTTTGAAAAAATACGCAACAAAGCTATTGGTCTGTAATTAACCGGATTTTGAGCCTCACCGCTTTTATATATTGCCCTTAATGAGGTGTGTTTCAAGCTATAGTATACAATTTATTTATTGAATAACAACTCGAACGTTTTCGACACTAGGCCATCATCAGGAGAGTATCTGAAAAGTGAATTTTTCTTTTACAGGTACAATATATGTAAAAAATGTGAGGTTAATATCAATTTGTTAATGTCAGAAGGAAATCGTTGAATAAATCAAGAACTCACTTGTCATATAGTCTTGTAGAAGATAAGCATTAAAAACAATGTAAGACTATATGACAAGTGAGTTTTCGATTTATTCAACGATTTTCTTCTGACATTAACAAATCAATTTTAATCTCACATTTTATACATATATTGTATCTGTAAAAGAAAAATGCATTCTTCAGATACTCTCCTGATGATGGCCTAGTGCCGAAAACGTGCGAGTTGCTATTCAATAAATAAATTGTATACTACAGCCTGAGTCTTACTCATCAATATTGATTATTATACTAAGTATACACAACCATTTCTCTAACCGAAAAAGGAAACGTCCTTATTACAAAAGAAGTGTTAATATTTCAGGGTAGAACGAATTGGATGTGCGGGTTGGCTGGAATTAGAGCCTCATCATTGGGATCTCCTAAACAGTAAGAGACACAGGGTCTGTTAAATTATGTCCAAATTGCGAAATTTTATGAATGACAAAATGCCGTTTCGAAACTTGGAAAATTCCTAAAACTTTTGGAGAAATACGAAAAAAAAAAAGATTCACTAAAACCTCTTTCACTTTTTTTCCAAGTCATTTGAAGAGATCAATTGAAATGAATGACACTTCATCATGACCACTTTTTCTTCCCTACAAGTTGGACGTATACAAATCTGAAATCCGACGTATCGTCATCCAGAAACCATCAACTAATTTTTTTTTCAAATACGGACCTGAATTATTATTAAATTTTTTACACATCTTTGGATATCCCAAAAGCTATCAGCTATCCTAAATTTTCATTTTCGAATGTTTTGTTTACAAGAATTGACAGTTCCTTACTGAATATTGAAAAAATAAATGAAAATTTGTGGTAGCTCATAGTTTTTGCAGAGGTGTGAAAAAATGGAATAAAAAATCCAGGTCCGTATTCGAAAAAAAAAGTTGAAGATGGTTTTTAAAACACGTAATGTCGAATTTCAAATTTGAAACGCCAACTTGTAGGAAACAAGTAAATCGGCAGATTATGATATTTCCGTGATCCGTGAATAATTTCCTTAAATATAAAAAAAATTATCGCGCTCGTGAATCTCCAGGTGACGTTTCCTTATTTCAGGCTCAAATCGTCATTGAAATGCACAATTTTCGGCATGTAATTAACTTACCTTGCCTAAATCTGATGCGATCAAGTTTATCCAATGATCGATTTTTTTACTAATCTTATCGGCTGCCCAAGACTTCAACGCCATATAAAGAGCCCAGGTATGGTTAAAGTACTTCAAAAGGTGCAAGGTTACCTCCCTACTATTGCCTTTTTGTCAATGCCAGTTTGAAGAACGAATGTCCAAGAAATTGTCCTCGAATTGAAAAATATCTTTGTCCAATAATCAATATGCAAAATCCATCAATCACCTGATTTTAAACCGATAGACGCGGGCGATACATTAGGAATGATTTTATCTAAATTCGCCTCAAATAAAAAAACGTGAGTAATGAAAATAAAAAATTATCTGATGAAATTTAAAGGAGTTCTGTGAAAAATTGAAGATTATTTTGGTAAAAACACAATGTGCTTAATAAATAGCAAACTTTACAAGTAAAATTAAGTTTTGCGTCCTTTCATCATGATCGATCAATTGGTTCTAAAGGTGTGTTGCATACGTTTCCGGTGACTATTCATGAATATAATCTTGTGTTATCAAGTTGAATGGCGACTAAAAATATTATGTTTTATTTTCTCGGAGGATTGACAATTGATTTTATTGTTGCTTACACATTCGTTAGCTCGAAAAAAGCAAGATGACAGACACAAGTAACAGTTCAATGTAAACAAGGTTTTATCGAGAAGTTTCATCATATTTTAGGTAATACCACAAGTGAAACTATATTTTGCGAAAAATATTCGGCGATTGCTATGACAGCTTGTTGCCTAGCAAAATTTTGAATGAAATAGATCAAAACTTTCAAGGCTTCCGACGTAAATTTCCAGGAAAAATAGTATCACGAGTTGTATTTATATGACTATTTCATGATTGGATCAGACAATAAAAAGCGCCTCACGAGAGTTGCGCAGACTGCATCCATCATTCTGGCTTCCAACATGATTGACGTTTCAAATGTCGAAAGTTTTATCGCTGAAAAACAAGGTTGGTTAGCCCGCGTGTGGGTCATTTCGGATTTTCTATGGGTAGAACAAGTCCGATATTTTAAGTAAACAAATAAAATGGACGATTCTGATAAGCTCTTGAAAACAAGAGTGGAATAGTCATGGGTAATATCCCGAGACCATGACCAATAGCCGACTATTATTTTCTTCATAATTCTATCGAGAGTACCTTGTATTTTGACAATTTGATGAGACCATATGAACATTAATAATCTGAATAACTCCCGAGAGGTTTAGCTCGAGGGAGTTATTCTATGATTATTTATGTTCATATGATCGAATTGAATGGTTCCAAAATACAAGTTTCTCAAGATGAATTAAAGAAAAGAAGTTTCAACATTTTATTCAAGTTACAATCCTGCAGATACTATTTGAATAATAATTCTCCTGAAGGCCGTCGGGGGTATTCTCATCATATCTACGTATAATTGCAATCAATTCATTTAAAGTTAGAGCAAAGAAAGAATATTAACGCTATATTCTTTGATTAGAGCTTCTGTACTTTCCATTCTTTTTTGACGAAAATATTGTAGGCTTCGCCTTTTTGCATTATGCTTTGCATTATGCGCAACCCTGCCACCTTTGAATTAGATATATTCAAATGGATTCTTCTTACGTTTATGTTCATTGAAGTTTTATTTTTATTTTATTTTCATTTCAATTTACAAACTCAACAGGTTCCCCAATTACAGAGTAGGAAGTATAGTAAAATAGACTTATATGTAGTCACTTAGAAAACATCTCACAGTTCATATATTCTAGATCTAAATCTATTCAAACTCAACAAGAAAATATCACAAGAATGAGATATACCATTGTATGTTTTACACATAGTATTTAAAGGACCAGCAGAGTGGATATTCGTTCGATGAGCATCTATATAAAATGTGTTTGTTACACGTGTAGAATATGCTGGTACGAAGTTGATTTACACGTGTAGAATATGCTGGTACATTGAAGTTGATTTGTGATAGAAGACAGATGTCATCCACATTGCCATGTATCAGTTTATGAAGAAACAGCATACTGGAGACTGTTCTTCGATTCACAAGAGAAGATAAGTTGTATTTAAGTAAAAGTGACGCCCTTGAAACATCATTGTTGTAATGCCCAGTTTCTTTGTAATGTAGAAATCACAAGAACTTATTTTGAACTCTCTCCATTCCATATGATTGCTCCATATTCTAGTATACTCCTCACGAATGAAATATACAGTATTTTTATTGAGTCAATATTTGTAAATTGCCGCGTATTACGAACAATAAATCCGTACATTTTTGACGCTTTCCGCGCTGCATTTGCCATATGCGCTCGAAATGGAAGTTCAGTATCAAATGTCACTCCCAGGTCACACATTTCAGAAACTCTGGCTAGCGCTACCCCTTCCATAGTATAATCAAATATGAAAGCGTTCTTCTTGCGGGTGTAAGTCATTTGATAACATTTTTTCACGTTGAAAAAAAGTTCATTCTTTTTTGACCAATCATCAAGTGCATCTATATTGGATTGTAGTATATGACAATCTTGGTCAGTCCTGATTGTCCTAAATATTTTCAGGTCATCCGCAAAGAGTAGAACCTGTGACCCATTTATTACCTCTGGCAGGTTAGGTTAGGTTAGTTACCTTCCAGTATATAGTTTTCCATATTAATTTCAACTGTGTATTCCGAATATTTTTTTTTGCAATTGCATTACCTCGTTGGTCCCAGCACTGGGACCAAACGCCCGATAAGTCGAAACTTGTGCGGGGTTAGGTAAGCATACAGACACAAACATCCATGGCCTAACTAGGATTCGAACCTATGTCTCGGTGGGAGTCCCCATACGAACTCAGCGCATTCACGCTCTCGACCATTCTCCTCACCCAATCTTTCAGGATTTAGGCAATCACGAGAGATGTGGTAGTCGCACAAAATTCATAGTTTTTCTGCTGGCAAAAAAACATGAATTGTTCCAGACACACTCTTTAATCTCCTCGATATTTTCTGATATCGATTCGCTTACATAATTACGAATTTCCGTAGTGGAAGTTGACCCAAATCAAGACATTTCAATTTCTGAGTGACTGATAGGTATGTTAAAATTTGACAACCATAGCACTCTTATGCTGGCGAACAGAATAGCCGATCATATTGTTTGTTTACCTAAATAGCCGCTGACATCTCATATCATGTCACTTCAATCATGACATTTCATAGGTCCAGCCGGGTGTGAATGAAATAATCAGTATAATTCTGGACGAAAAAATGGCAGATTATGATATGTGAAAAAAATGATCACTAAAAATAATCACTCACGTTATTGAGGGTCTCCTCCACTTCCTGGAATTGCCGGTACTTCCCCATGTACTTGGTGAAATCATCCCTCTCGACGACGATGTAGTACAGGCTGTCCTTGTGCCTGGCTCTGCCCTTCGATTGGATGTACGATCGGTAGTCTTCGGGTTTGTCGTACTTGATGACGAGGGTGCATTTCGGTATGTCGACGCCCTCTTCTAGCACGTTCGAGGCCACCAGGACGTTTATCTCCTTGTTGACGAAACTATTCAACACCTGTATTGAAACATCAGAATTAAAAATTCTAATCAATATGAAAACTCATGCCCACGAAACCTCCGTAACAGTTTTTTCTGAAGTGACCCCCAAGAAAGATACAGCCCCTCATAGGAGGGTATCGGAGAATGATTTTGTAATATTATCTCCAACACCTTGTATAATGCAAAACTGAAATTTTGTCCATCCACTTACTATTCCGTTCCGGTTCGAATGGAGTTAAAATCACCTCGAAATTAGATACAGGGGTATGTCAAAATAGAGAGGTAGGAGTTAAAAGTAACCCCAATTATTTTGTTCATCGCAATTTCAGTTTTTTTACATGAAATTATGAAATCTCAGGGCTATTTACATAGAAAAGGTACTCTTGTTGCATCTCGATAAAATGAACCATTAGCGAACAAGAGCTCCTTTTCTATGATAATAGCCCTGAGATTTCATAATTCTATGTCAAAAAACTGAAATTGCGATGAACAAAAAATTTGGGGTTATTTTTACCCCCTACCTCCCTATTTTGACACACCCCTGTATTTAATTTTGAGGTGATTTTAACTCCATTCGAACCGGCACTGAATAGTAAGTGGATGGACAAAATTTCAGATTTTCATCATACAAGGTGTTGGAGATAATAATACAAAATCATTCTCCGATGCCCCCCTTTGAGGGGCTGTATCTTTCTTGGGGGTCACTTCAGAAAAAAATGTTACGGAGGTTTTCGTAACTATTTCACCCACTCTATATGCTCCCAAAGTTTGACCACCTATTTTAGAATCACCTTGTATAATATCCCTTTCAAGAGTGTAATGTCATCTCAACCTCATCAGCAAGAAATTGGTTCACCACAAAGAATTCTTTTTTCTATATATTTTACAAGTTTGATGAAATAAAACAATATCAGAAAGATAGATAGATAGATAGATAATTTATTGATCTTTTAGGTGTACATGTGATACAAATAAGACAAGTCAAGCTTCGAAAAAAAATGAGGTACAAATAAAAATCTTAAGTATTAGAAAAATATTGAAAAAGTTGCACAAATACAGACATATTAAAAAAAACAATATTTAAAAAATATAATATAATATAAATTGCCTATATTCAATAAAAAAAAATACACTATAGGTAGTATCATTATTGAGCACCAGACCTCAGGGCAGCCATATATTCATCTATGGAGTAGAGGGCATTCGAAATTAAGAAATCTTTCAAATGTTTTTTAAAGTTGTATGAATTAAGATTTTTTACACATACAGGGAGTGCATTGTAGAGATTCACATCCAGAGAATTTTTGCTAGATTTATGCAATCTGAATCTGTTTGGCCTGATCAATTGACAGCTCCTGGTGGGATAATCGTGAAAGTCAGAATTTTTTCCGTTATCTTCTTTATTTTTATGAATATCCAACAAAAGTTGGTATATGTAAATAGATGGTAGCGTCATGATTTTTAGGGATTTAAAGAATGGTTTACATGAATCAGCGTAGCCAGCACCAGCGATAATTCTTATTGCTTTCTTTTGAAGAATAAATATTTCAATGGCTTTTGTGCTATTGCCCCATAAAATTGTTCCATATGAAATTTGGGAGTGGAAGAATGCATAATATGCTGATAGCAGTGCCTGAACGCCAATAATATTCTTCAGTTTTCGGAGAAGGAATATATATTTGGAGATTTTATTACTAAGCTGCTCTATGTGAACTGACCAGTTCAGTGTGTCATCTAGAAAAATGCCCAACAAGACCTTAAAACCTTCTAACTATCCTGATAAAAAGTGCAACAAAATGTTAATTCTTTATTGTTCAGTCAGTCAATAGGCGAGAACACAATAGAACGAATTCAGTTCAAATGTGCATAATAAATAAATATAACATGGAAATAATGTGTACCAGTAGTTTTTTCAACAATAAATGCTGCCATTATCCAAAGAACGCGTTTCCAAAACCATACAAATTTGTGGACCATTCAAAAAACCAATAATGGCGGATACGTGATGACGTAACAAGTATTGGCGTGCATTTGGCAACGCTGTACTGTACCTTCAAATATTCTAACCTATTTCCTAACCTAAAAAACCGAACTCATGAACATCAGAGTGTTTCTGCGATTTTTTATCTGCTTAATAGAAGAGTTGAATATTTTCTTGGGTAATCAATATATTCAAATCATTGTGACTATTATTGTGACGTAGTATGATGGTTCTTGTTTATTGATTGGAGATATGAAGCCAGTATTCGAAAAAGCAATCACAATCTTCCAGTAGTTGATTCAACTATGGTTTTTGAATTCTGCAAGTAAAAAGAACTGGCATGACCTGTATCATAAAGGTGAAAATTAGTCCAGAACATAAAATTCGTCCTACACCATAAAAGGTTGAGGCTGAGATTCATGAAGCAGAATTTGTCTCCTGGGGGATTCCAAGACTTCATTCATCAGAATATCAGTGACAGTATTTGTGAATTGGTGCAAAATTTAATGCTGCTTTAAAGCTATATGAGGCACAAAGTACAAGACATTAATAGGTGCATTTGGAGAATTTTGAGAATAATGGTAGTTTTCAGTTATACATATAGTGTCATATGACCCTATATTCCTTTTAAAAATTATGAAAGATGCTGAATATTTTTGGCAAACTGTTATTTTCACCCATTTAATAAAATTATAAAATATCAGTACCACAGTACCTCTTTTCATCTCTCATTTCAAAATTGGACTTATTTAGAGCTCAGGTGTGTCTTATAAATAACATATTTCATCATACAAAACTTCAAAATCCCTTCTCATATTGATGATACACCATACCTTCACAACCTGAAGATCTTGCTGGAGATGGTAGGTATATGATATTCATGATTACTTCTTGTAGAACTACCTAGTTCATTCATATTTTATCAATGTCAGTGGAATATTGGTGAAAGAGAACAATACCTATCACTACACCAAGAAATTAATGAAAAGTCATGATCTGTAGTAGGAAAAAAATCCAGTAAGTATAAACCAAGAAAGTACTGGCATATCTAGAAATGATGGAAGATGCAACATCAATTCTCAATTTGAAAAACAATCTCAAAATCATAAGAGCCAAAATTACTAGATAGGGAAAATTTGTCAAAAAAGTAAACAAATAGGTAGTACACAGGAATTATCAAATGCCCCCATCTTCAAAATGAAACAAGAATGCTCAAGAATGTTGGTGGAAATTTTCATTTATTGTCCACTTCATACAGTAGATATGATTAGAACAGTTGAATATCAATAGACCTCCTAATAGATATATTTCATTTCTAGAACGAATATAGATGTAGAACATGGAAATATTATATCAATATCTTGTCCAGATCATCACAAAGTTTGTAAGAAAATAAATAAACTGGTAATAATCACAAACATATTTGTAATATCAATCAGATATAGTCCTGAGTCATTTCATCACAATATGTTATGAGACTGTTGTTCTGGTTCATAGTATTTGATGTCAGTCTCTTCCATGACAGGTTCCTTTTTCAGGTTATACAATAAAACTTTCTTCAGCTGAAACACTCACTGATACTCCCAAGAATTTTCCTCAAGGAGAGTCAATATGATTGGAGGGAAGCTCTATTTAATCCTATCTCCCAAATTCTCAAGAGATTATTGAGATCTCCTTTTCCGTGCTGAAGATGAAAATTAGGATTTTGGTGGGTGTTCTCTCAGTTTTGGACTTTTAATGAATATATGAGGAATCACATCTTCAGGCATATAAACTGTAGATCCAATGAGTTCTGATTCCATCCAGTTCAACATGTCATATTCAAGCTAGAGCAAAATGATAATGATTTTAGAATCAATCCATATTGAAGAAAAAATTCTACTCACATCAAAATGATCGTCACAGCAAAATATATTATTTGATTACAGGTATGGTTTATCAACAGCAACACCAGCGTACATACATTGTCTTCCTTCAGAGGAACCAGATTAAACAGTTTATCCCTTGGTTTATCCATATTCTTTGTTCACTGTTGATTAAGCAGGATGGAACCAAGTTTGTGGCATTTCCTTACAGTCACAGCCATTCCAGAAGTGTGAATCAACGTTGATGAGAAAAAACAAATATTTTGAATGGCAGTACAATTAAAAATAATATAGGCCAACGAAACAAATAAACATTAAAATAAAATAACAACTGACAGATGAACGAATTGTCAACTGTCCACACTGTTAACAGTGTCAACAGTCCAGAAGATATTAAGCGAGGTTGCCGGATCACCGTCTAATACTTGTCACGTCACATTAACGCGCCATATTCCAGCTCCTTTGAACGGGATCAATACTTTGCGAATTTTTTGTGGAAAAACTACTTCGAATTAAAATCTGAAAAAAATACCTGAGACTTTTATCGTCATACTGAAGGTCATTGTATTTTTTTCCAGAAATTAGTGTTCTCGCCTATTATCATATTTTTATTATCTTCCTATTTCTTTCAATTGTGGAAAACAATATAGATTCCAATACCTTTGATCATTCTCTGCTATTTTCGGCCCTTTACTGGAAATGAGACATTTATTCAAAATTTTCAATCATTACAATACAATCTTCATTAAAAAACGTGACTCCACTGGTCTTTGGGTAACTTCGGAAATTCTGGCAGATGGAAATCCTGCTGCCAGGCAGCCAGATATAAGTTTTATTAAAAAACGTGACGCCACTGGTCTTCGGGTAGCATCGGAAATTCTGGCAGATGGAAATCCTAGCAGCTGCCAGCTGCCAGGCAGCCAGATTCACACGGCTACTTTCTGAATCTGATGAAATTTTTCGAGAAAAGTATCATAAAGTGAACTTTTTTTGACAGCTTTTGATCTCCCCGGTGCTTTCCAGAAACAGCTGTCAGTTCCAGCTCTTCCATAATAAGACCTGCTCGACGTCAAGTAAGTATTTTCTGTCTCAGCACGCTTTTCTAATTGCTATTGCTTCAACTTGCCTTGGGTGATATCCTCTTATCTCTTCCTTTTTCAATCTATCCTATCGGTCTTTTTTGGCCAACTTCTCTTTTCCTCTTTCCCCCAAGCCCAACCTCACCATTAAGTGGTGTGTGGAGGACAGACCGCGGCCGCTCGACAGATGAAGCATTTTGGGACCATCTTTGCTATCTTGCGCCAGATGTGACAATAATTTGTGGACATCTATGGCGAAGTTAGGACGATTTGCTGATATCTGTCTATGTGGCGGAGGACTGGTCAACGAGGCACTAGCAACCTAATCCAAGCTGTGGGAACCCGTGGCGATGGATGAATGGCACCGAGGTATGGTGTCGTTAACGGGGCCTCTGGGAAACAGGGCGACATCTCAGAGTAAACAGCCTTAACCCTGTGCAATGGGCACCACAGGGCTGAACCAACCCCTCCCCCCGTTACTGGTAGGAGAAGGAAAACTTTTGTCCTTTTTCGTAGACGAGAATAAGGATCTGTAGAATAATCTTCAAGAATGGGGGATAAGACCCATGTGATGTCCATAAAGGATTTCAACTACCTCGACGACAAAAAAAAACACTAGCTAATGAATGAAGTGCTTGGAAAAGAGTGAAATGATACCATTCCAACATTTCTTTTTTGGTTCCCTCATTACAGAAATCATACCTACATGCTGTTTTACCACTAACCAAACCGATTTTTTACACCTCGACACGTGTTTCGCTAACTATGTTAGCATAAATAAGAAGATTAAAACTAATTTTCTCCTGAAGATGCTAAAATAGTTATCGAAACACGTGTCGAGGTGTAAATATGAAAAAATGTATACTCAATACACTATAAACGGAGCAATTTATTCTCATTTGAATACTTGGAATGATTTTATTTTAATTATTATGTTATAATGACATAACTTGTTAATGCTGTTATTATTATTGTTATATATATTTTTTTAATTGCATTACCTCGTTGGTCCCAGCACTGGGACCGAACGCCCCATAAGTCGAAACTTGTGCGGGGTTAGGTAAGCAGACAAACACAAACATCCATGGCCTAACTAGGATTCGAACCTATGTCTCGGTGGGAGTCCCCATACGAACTCAGCGCCTTCACGCTCTCGACCACCGAGCCTATATATATCATATTATGTTAATATATCACTATTATAAACAAATATGTTTCTTGGTAATAAAGAACAACAAAATCGGTTTGGTTAGTGGTAAAACAGTGTGTAGTGTATTATCGTGCCAAAGGTTCCAGTCTTCGATATATCGAAATCATACCTGTTTGTTTTTCTTGGATATGAACAGGCCCTCCCTCGTGTCGTTCATGGGATTGTTGTTGTAGCCGACCATGAAGTTGGGTTTGATGTGAGCGAACTCCTCGTCCGCCTGTCTGAGAGCGTCCAGCACGTGGTAGATGACCTTGGCGGTGAAGCGCCGTTGCGTGAATATCAGGCAGCACAGCTCCTCCTTCGATCTCGCCTTGTACTCCCGCAGAATGTTGATCAGCATCAGGACTTTGTCGGACGAGAACCTGAGAAATTGATCATTTGAGTGCTAGAGAATATGACGTTTACTGCTGTCTAGACAGTGATAAACCATGTGTCATGTCTTGGAACATGACGAAAAGAAAACATTGAGACCCAAGCTATTTTTATATTTGCGTGAATATCGTTCGTCTTTTACTCCCACATGATTTCAACTATTAATTATGGAAGATATAACCACTCTGGTATCTAGAGTATCGGACATTTAATTCTGTTTGGTGAGAACATACGTGTCATGTCATGAAACAGACGAGACAAAAAATATGAGATATAAGAGATCTTTACAAGATATATGAGACCTTGGCGGTGAAGCGCATTTGCGTGAATATCAGGCAGCACAGCTCCTCGTTGATCTCGCCTTGTACTCCCACAGAGAAATTGATCATTTGAGTGCTAGAGAATATGACGTTTAATGCTGTCTAGACAGTGATAAACCATGTGTCATGTCTTGGAACATGACGAAAAGAATAATTTGAGACCCAAGCAAACTTTATATTTGCGTGAATATCCTTCGTCTTTTACTCCCACATGATGTTAACTAGTATGGAAGATATGACCACCACAGTGTCTAGGACATCTAACAGTCAATGTTGTTTGGACAGTGAGGACATTCGTGTCATGTCTTGAAACAGGCAAAAAAATGAGGCACAGGAGCTCAATGACAAGATAGATGAGCTAGATGGTGAAACGCTTTTGCGTGGATATCAACCTCGCCTTATACTCCCGCAGAATGTTGATCAGCATCAAGACATTGTCAGACGAGAACCAGAGAGATATAACCATTAGAGAGCTTAGCTAGAACATCTGTTATATTTGCGTGAATATCCTTCGTCCCGTAGTTCCGCATGATATTAACTAATATAAGGACTTTATCGGACCAGATCCTGGCTTCGAGTTGTTACCAAGCAACGAGCTTGAGACATTTTTCATAAAATTATGAGGCATTTGTCAATGTCCGAGGGATATTCGGTGGAAAATAATTGGAAGTTGTCAAAGTCGACTGTGTTGTCATAGTTATTGATAATTGCACTGAATGCAGTTATCAAAATTTATTTTTATAATAAGGCTTGGTATCATCTGTTTTTACTCCCGTACAATGAAGATTTATGTCGTAAGATTGAATTATTAAAATTATCTAGGTAATACCACAAATACCACAGGTACAGACCACTAATCGATGTCGCATTGTGACGTATTTGTAATATAGAATGTACACTTGTGTATGACCTGTTAGTGATTTTCTATGTGATGAGGCATTTCATGTCTGAACGACGTCACAGTGATGGTAATTGAGTCGGACATTTTCACATCGCCACGTTGTATCGGTAACATGTTTGTGACTTCAATTGCGATATCACATGTCACAAAGTGATGTCTCGTATACATCATTTATACATCTCATGGTTGGTTGGGTAGTGAACACATTTATAAGTTTGTAAATGAGCACATATCACAGATCAAGTATGTGTTCTGCGTCTTTCAAAAGTTGAAAGATTCATATTCTGTAAGATAATGTTATCATTTCTAGAGTATGAATTCAATCTGAATGCAAAACACCGCAGAAATGTATTTCGGATTGATTCAATTTTAGCAATATGTATATTAGACTGTACTAATTGTCCACCAGATCGCGCTACTGAAACAAGAGGTCAACGTTGTTAGAACTGATATATTTTCAATTGTTGATGTAAAAATTTGCATAGAAAAGTCCACATTGTGAGTTAAAAACGCAAGACTGATCGAGTCCAACCATAACTCGAGCTCTTCCATTTGTTCACATAGGCCATATCATTTTCATCAAAATAGGCCTTTCAGGGCTACTAGCGAAATTTTAGGACTTTTGACTTTGACATAGGGACCTCACAGCAAGGTGATGTCACAATGAAAATAATCGTTTTTCTGACAAAAGATACCCAAGCCAGTTGCCCAGACATTGAAAAAGTCTCAACTTATTCTGTAAAGAAGTGCCTGTGATTTTTTTCAAGTGCCTGAAAACGCAGTAATTTATAGAAAAAATCAAATAACTTCTGATCGGTCTAGGCGAATTACAAAAACTAAATGGATTTATGAAGTCTAACAAAAGACGAATTCAAATATGTATGAAAGTATACAGTGTAAGATAAATCGACGAAACGAGAAAGGAGAGTAACGGTTGAAATAGGCTCACCCGATATCGTGGACGTGGACTGTAATGTAGCCATGTTGGTACAGCTGTATTTATAATTTTTCGTTGTAGGCCTACCTTATACCAATAAACTCACTGGATCTGCTAATAGGATCAATGTTCATATCAAAAAAGCTGCATTTAAAAACCACACTGCATAAACTATTCGACCACGATGTGTTCTCGATAATTTCTATACATCAAATGCTGTCTCTGATATTTTTCGTCCGAAACCTCTTTAGTGCCACAAAAACTCTCGTTCATACACGAATGTTTTTGCTCAAATCATTTGCCCATTCTCTTTCGTAGTCGATTCTAATAATAATAGTAGTAATAATGATAATGTCAATAACAATAATTCTTATAATAATAAAAATTATATCAACCCAAAATGAAAATAAAAGAATTAATAATATAGGACGAAACATACAGGGGTTAAAAAAACATGTTTGCTTCGCGTAAATGGTACACCCTTTATAGGGCAAAATGATTTTACACACTGTACTCAATAATAACATTTATTGATCCCAAGAAACATACATGTTCACAAAGGAATACAAAAAAATTCAAATATGTAATAAAATGAGATAAACACTTCAACCAGAATTAATTGATACAAGGAGAGACTTGAATGGATAAAATCTGAATATTCATTCAGTTCACTCTTGAATTTTGTGACGAACCTAATAGCATTTATTCTGTTGGGTAGACTATTATAAATATTCATTCCACAAAAATATAATGGTTCTACCCGAATTTTGTTTTTATTTTGACAGTTTTCAAATGTTCACTTTGTCTGGTGTGGTGCTCATGGGTATCAGAATAATTGATATTGAACGTAAAATTGGAGTGCTTCTTCTTATGTTTAGTGCAATGGATGAAAATGCATACTTCCATTATGACGAGAGTCAATATTTAGCAGATTCCTTGGCTTGTATAGTCTAGATGTTGTTTGTATTACGACAGAAAACTTGGAAAAATTCAGAGTTTGAAAGGCAGACAAAATTAAAATATTTGGTCAAATCTGAAGTCACTCAAAAACATCACAATACAGGGTAAATCAATTAATGTACATAAACAAATAATAATGTTGAGAAGCTGAGCTGGCAGACTTCTAACACACTCCCTCAGTGATAGCTTCGAAAAAATTAACAAGGAATCTTCGGAAATGAACTATGCTCAATGGTTTCGTGAGAAGATCGGCAATATTCTTCTTAGTATCGACGTAGGCAATGTTGACATCATTATTGATTATCCGTTCTCTAACATAATGGTAATGAATGTCTATGTGTTTGCTGCGTTGATGTAGAACTGGATTCGTAGAAATGTGTATCGCAGCTTATCTATTTATTTATTTATTTTCTTTATTGAAAATGTTACTTCCAGTCAGAATCAAGTTCTGGTATAAGGAAGTATAGTTAACAATAATACCTAAAACTATACAATTATAATAAACTGATGAATAATAAAATATTTGAAAACATTAATTATTAAATTTTGACAAATCATTTCATATTGGTGAGCAAAAATCAATTTGAATATGAATCAAAAGTTGAAAAAAAAAAGTCATCTATTTCGTTCAGAAATGATAAATTTTTTAAGATGGTATTTGAATTTTATTGTATTCTGCAATTTTTTATATTATCTGGTAATTTGTTATATTCCAAGAGAGCAGCGTGGGTGAATCTTTTTTGGCCTATAGAAGTATTAGCGATATCAAGATGAAATAAACCATGTTGTCTAGTTTGATAATTATGAATTTCATTGTTTCGTGTTGAAATAAAATTAGATTTCAATCTTTTATTTATGATATTGTATGTAATTTTCAGTCTTTCGATTTTGAACATTTCTTCTGAGAATGATTCAGTTATATTATATAATTGATTTGTTGATTATCACATAAGATCATGGGTATAATATCTAGATTGAGATCTCTGAATAGATATTTCATCCATATGGCTTGTCTACAAGCAAGCGACAGAGCCATGTATTCGGACTCTGAGATCTTCGATCATCTAAACAGCTTGCATACGAAGCATCAGTATACATGAAAACTTGAGGATTTGTCGTTTTAGAGTAGTATAATTTTTCTTTGTGAGTTCCTCTCAAGTAACAGAAGATATGCTTCACCATATTTGAATGTACTTCGGTGGGATCAGTACTGAATTGAGACAAGACATTCAAAGCGAACGCAATATCCGGCCTCGTGCCCATAGCAAGATAAAGAAGACTTCCAATCTGTGATTGATAAACAGCTTTGTCTGTTCTTTTATCATGAGGTTTTGCTTTTTGGGGTTGTGCACCACAATCCATAGGCTGTAACATAGGCTTGCAGTTCAATAAGTTATATTTGTCTAGGATTCTCAAAATATATTGTTCTTGGTTTAAGCAGACATAACTTTCAGTCCACTCAATTTGAATAGAAAGTAGGTAATTTGGAACACCAAGGAACGTGACCTCGAAGTTTTCTTCGAGTAGATTCTTAATTTCCTCTACCTTACCATCTGTGGAACCTAGTATCAGGATATCATCCACATAAATTGCCACAATTTGTTGAATATCCTCTGATCTGAATAGACATGGATCTGCTGACGATTGTTACAAGTGAATTTGTTGCAGAACCCCAACTAATTTCAAGTTCCATTGCCTAGGGGATTGCTTCAGGCCATAGATACTTTTCTTTAGAAGACATACTCTCCCTGCTTCTGTATTCCCTCCATCAGGTATTTTCATGTAAGCTTCAACATCAATATCACCATTTGAGAATGCAGTTTCGATATCTAGCTGTTTTGCCACCATATTATTATGAATACAATGAGCAATCAAAATTCGAATTGTTTCATACCGAATAACAGGAGACTGGAGAGTATGTTTCACTGAAGTCAATTCCTGGTACTTGTGAAAATCCTTGGGCAACCGGTCTTGCCTTGAACTTGATTATTTCTCCTTTTTCGGATAATTTCTTCTTGAATATCCAGCGACATCCGATTACTCTTGCATTTGGAGGTTTCTTAATGATTTTTCAAACATTATTTTTCCTCATCGATTCCAGCTCTTCATGGATAGCTGCAAGCCATTCAATGGATTCAGGACCAGCTATGGCTTCATCATAGGAAGCGGGTTCATCCAGAGCCATTCTACAAAAATCTTCGAATTGTCCAGGGCATGGTTTTCTAGTGCTTCGACGAATAGTGTCAAATGAGCGAACATCACGTGAATCATCACCACCATTCGAAATATCAACTCCGGTATTATTCGTTGAATTTTCAACAGAAAGCTTCTCTGTTTCAGTGACACTCGATTCGTTCTCAGGAACATCATTCTTGATTGCTCTTTTTTCCATGGGCAGAATAATTGCAGTGTCACTTTCTTCAGATGCAAATTTGTAATCTCTCGAAATTGACACCCTTTTTCCAGTCCAAAAACGATACCAATCAGTGTTGTCACAGTATCCCACCATTGATGATTCCATGGATCTTGCACATAATTTGCTACCAGCTTTTCGATCTTCTTTGGCAATATGAATGAATGCTTTCTGCCCGAAACTCCTTAGATTAGATATGGTGGGTTTAAATCCATGGAATAGTTCGAACGGAGTTTTTCCATGGTACGAATGAGAAAGACGATTTTTTGTATAAACTGAATAAGCCACAGCTTCGGTCCAGAGTGACTGAGGAAGTTCCGAGTCTATCAAACTTGTTCTTGCCATGGTTGTCAAAGTTCTATTGAATCGTTCTGCTAGTCCATTTGTTTCATGTACTCTAGGTATTGAATGCTCCACTTTGATACCGCATGATTTGAAGAAATTTTCTAATGTTCTTGATAGATACTCGCCCCCATTATCACATTTGAACATTTTTACTTTCTTGCCAGTTTGTCTTTCTGTTCGATTGATATATTCTTTTGCTGCTTCTTCAACCTCATTTTTATGTGTGATGAACTTCACTTCAGCATATCTAGAATGCTCATCGATGAAGGAAACATAATAAAATTTTCCACCTACAGATTTCGTGGCGAATGGTCCAGCTACATCTGAATGAATTTTTTCTAGTATATCAGAGCAAGCATTTCCAGATGTTTTGGGTATTTTTCTGGTCATTTTTGATTTTTCACATGCGATGCATTCAATTTTGGCAGGTTTTTTAGGAAGAACATGGGGATCAGCAACAGCTTGTTTAATTTCACTAAACGAACTCGTCGGTGCATGTCCTAGTCTTCTATGCCAAGTCGCTACACTTACATGTGCAATATCAGAATGTTTTTCTTGGAAAACGTGTTCTTTATTCTGTGAGATGATCCAACCAACCATTCTATTGTCTTTCCAGAAAACAATATCTTTTTCATCACCTTGCATTGTTATACCTTTCGATTTGATCTTCTCCCATGACATTAGGGAACATTTGAGTTCAGGTGACTAAAGGACATCGTAAATAGTGATATTTTTTGTCTCACCCGATGGCAATAAAGCTTTCAACTTCACCTCCCCGATATGCGTGACATTAACTTTTTTGTTGTTCCCAAGACGAATGTGACTACTGAAAGGACGTAGAGTTTTAAACGATTCTCTATTGCCTGACATGTGAGAAGTTGCCCCCGCATCAAAAACCCATTTCCAGGATTCACTTGAAAAAGTAGTTGCTGGATAAGCTATATCTTCATCTTCTGATTCTGAATTACACACCACATGAGCTTTATCTTGGTTCTTCTTCAAATTCCGACAATTTTGGACAGATTGGCCTTTATACCATTTTTTGTTCTCTTTACAATAACTGCATTCTAAAATGTATTTTTGGGGTTTTCTCCTTCTGTGATTTCCAATAAATGCTTGATTATCTTTTGCGCTCGTTGACGTCGTTGATAAATCCATCAATCTTGAACTTATGTCGTCATATGTTAGGTCTTGTTTGGTTTTCAAATTGTCAACTATGTTCTCTAAGTCATCAGGCAAAGTTGTTAAGAAAAGTGATCCTTTAGCCTTGAGAGATGAAGCAGGTGGCCGGAAAGCAGCTTCAAGCGAGTCAGCATCATCAGATCCAGCAGTTACTGCTGTTCTTTCGACAAGCCTTGACCAGAGCTCATTATATTTTGCTATATGTTCTGGTATGCTGTTTTTACTTTCACATTTGATGCCAACTAAGGACTTGACCAATGAATGAAGGGAGTATTCATTCTTTTTGTCAAAAATGTCAATGAGATTTTTCCACATACTAGCTGCATCAGCGAAACATGTTATTTGCGGAACGAATAAATGCTCTTGCCAGAGCATGCCTATATCGCCAATCTTCACAATTCGATGCGTAATTCTCGGTTCTCTCAGTCGGTGTCATATTAGCTGGATCTTTTTCTTCTCCCGTTACTATTTTATACAAGTTATTCAAATCCATGTAGGTGAACACCATCATTTTCCAGGAATGGAAGTTGGATTTTCCATGCAGTTTTTCGAATTTTGGGAATTTGTCCATATTGAATATTTTATCTTCGATTTATATTATACCTTTCATAATGAACTTTTTTCCGCATTCAGCATAGATCTGGGTCCATAACCTCTTGTATTACGACAGAAAACTTGGAAAAATTCAGAGTTTGAAAGGCAGACAAAATTAAAATATATTGTCAAATCTGAAGTCACTCAAAATTATCACAATACAGGGAAAATCAATTAATGTAAATAAACAAATAATAATGTTGAGAAGCTGAGCTGGCAGACTTCTAACAGATTCCAGAAATGATAGTTTATAAATACATTTAATGGTTTTATTTTGAAGAGATTTCAGAGGTTTCAAACAGATTTTGCTGCAGTACCCCAGATCCATATCAGATACTGCAAGTTAGAGTAAATCAAACTGAACAAAAGTTAGTTTCAAGTATTCAAGAGGTATAATATGGAATACACATGCAATTAAACCTTTTGTATGCAAAAAAAGCAATCCCTATCATAACCAATGTCTCTCATAGAGAACACTGTCGCCCTTTATTTCAAGAACTTGAAATTCTACCCATGCCATGTATCTTCATACTTTACAATGTTTTAGAAATACACACAAACAATACTAAATACCTCACAAATGCAGACTTCCATCATTACCCAACTCGAAGAGGTGCTCAACTGAGGCCTCAATTTTATCAACTGAACCTATCGGCTCGAAATTCACTCAACTTACATTTATACAATGAAATATCAGCAGACATTACTGACCTAGATATTAAAGTTTCAAGGTCAGAGTTAAGCGCTTACAATTGAGGCACTGTTTCTACTCTATTGAAGAGTATCTGAATTGTAAGACATTAATCTTTCAATACGTTAGTTCTAGCTATTTCAGATGAAATTGTATTGTAATGTAGTGGTGATGTAATTGAATGTATTGTAATGTAGTGGTGATGTAATTGAATGTAATGTAATGTAAAGTTATGTAATGCTCTCTTACTTTGTATCTGACTTGTCAATATTTATACATTTTTGTAGTTAACGTGATGAAATTAATTTACTTCACTTCAAAAGACCTCAATATGTATCAATATACCAACAATGGGAGATCTTTTTTTCCTGAGCAATTGAATATGCAGTGCCGTTGGGTTCATTTCGATATGATTGACGGTGTACGGGTGCAATCGAGCAGTCCCATTTCAATGACTCACCCTGTATATTCTGAACTCACCTCATTATCTGCGATAGTTCGTCGTAACCTCTCATCGCACTTCCCAGCACTTCTTCGACGAACGACATCGACGTCTGCACGAAATTGAGTATCTCGAAGAAGGACAAATCCTGGCAGTGCTTCTTGATGCGCTCGACTTGCACGAGGTGGGCCGTGGTGGCCTTGAGACCGCCAAAGGCGCCCATCGTCTCCACGTGGAAGCGCAGATCGGTCACGAGGTTCCACAGGTCGCGATAACCTGCAAGGTTCATATGAATCGTCACGAACATTCTGTAACATGTTATAACATTATCGGATCTTCTGGAAGATTCTGGAACGTTCTAGAACCTTCCTGAACGTTTTACTACATTCTAATACGGTCTAGAACAGTATCGAACCCTCTCGAACTAAACTACTTACCAGATGAAGTGGGACAGCAAGAAAATTGACTAATTTTGATAAGCTGTAACTCGATAATTTCTTGGCCGATGTTGGATTTCCAACCAAAGGTAGAAAGCGTCATCCTTGGGCTATGCGTCATTGGCGTCGGGTTTTTATTGTTGCGATTTGTTCTCTTTGTACAGAGTGTAAATTAAGAGCCGGAAAAATTTCAAATTTTTGACCAATAATTTGGGAAATGTGAGGGACCCTAGAATCCTTTTTCAGATGTTGGGTGAATGGTTGGTCCGATACCTCGAGACCTCTTTGAAAGTTTTTTGATAAATTGCGTTGCTATGGAAAAATCGCCATTTTACGAAATTACATTTTCATCTCAAAATGTGGCCTCTTTTAGTTAAAGAAAAACAGTCAACATCTCATCAACAACTGCAACAAGGGATATTTCTACTGAAGATTATCAAAACCAGTGGCGCGCAAAAAGGGGTTTATGATATTCAGAAACAAAATATTCGTTTTTATCAAACAATTCAACAGTTTTATTGATTGTTACAGTTGAAGAGGTGTCATACCTTCAATTAACATGATGTTGACAGAGGCGTGCAAAAAAGGGGCTAATGATATTTAGAAACGAAAAAAACGTTTTTATTGAAAAAAAATAACAGATTAATTGATCGTTACAGTGAAAAAGTTGCTATACATTTAATCAGCATGATGTATTCCTGGCCATGTATGGGCCTGTTGACATTTTTTAGGGGGTCCGAGTAGTAAAAATAAAAAAAATATCTATCTAAAAATAATGCTTTATCAGAAGGAAGACGAGAAAATTAATGAAGACAAAATTGAAGATTTTTTGAAATTTTTTTTAACAATATCAATTTGTACGGCTCGAGAAACATCAGAAGCCAGAGTTCCTGAACTCTCATTCATAAATAATGATACAAGAAAATTTTCACTGGGCGAACAAAGAACAACACTTGATAAAATTATTGAAAATGTTTCCATATCAAACTTTTTCAATCGCCCTGAATGAATCATGGATCCTTTTTAATACGCCAATGGATTACTTGGATGCTCACCTTGAATAAGTAAAAAACAATGATGATGAGACTGGAACTTTAACCTGTGCACATTACAGAATTACAGAATCCCCTTTGCACGTCTCTGAATTTGTCAACATCATGCGAATTGAGGGTATGACACCTCTTCAACTGTAACGATCAATAAAACTGTTGATTTTTTTTCAATTAAAACGAATTTTTCGTTTCTAAATCATAAACCTCTTTTTGCGCGTCACTGGTGTTGATTATCTTCAGTAGAAATATCCCTTGTTGCAGTTTAGATATTGGCTGTTTTTGTTCAACTAAGAGAGGCCACATTCTAAAATGAAAATGGACTTTCATAAAATGGCGATTTTTCAATAGCAACGCAATTTACCAAAAAAATTTCAAAGAAGTCTCGAGGTATCGGACCAACCATTCACCCAACATCTTAAAGATAATTCTAGGGTCCCTCACATTTCCCAAATTATTGGTCAAAAATTTGAACTTTTTCCGGCTCTTGATTCACACTTTGTACATAGAGAACGAATCGCAAAAATGAAAATCCGACGCCAATGACGCATAGCCCAAGGATGACGCTTTCTACCTTTGGTTGGAAATCCAACATCGGCCAAGAAATGTTCGAGTTATAGCTTATCAAAATTAGTCAATTTTTTGGCTGTCCCACTTCATCTGGTGAGTAGTTTATTTACAAAGGATCCCGTACCATTTACATTGAAATCTTGTCTACGGTGAAATTTTGTAAAAATCTAGGATTGGATAGCTCAAATCATGCTGAACAAGAAATGTCCTTTGGTCCAAGGTCCGTTATACCCGTTAAAAGAAGTTATAAGGTCTTGAAGCCAAACGAGATAACCTCTACCAGAACAGCACATCCTGTGTGTAATATGGTTTTGGCTATTATGATATTTTTGAGTTGTCAGATAATGGTCATTCCTGTTATATCAGTGAAAGTCATTGAGCAAAAGCGTATTACTTTGTTCAAATACGTTGCAAGTCTATACCGGGGACTATTAGTTGCCTTTCCGTATAACGTAAACCACCAATCAATTGTCGCAATATTATACCATCATCGTTGAAATGTCCCAGACAAGATTGGGCATGAAAGAAAAGGCCGCGGCAAAACTGATATCGCGCATAATCGACAAGTTAATGCCAAGTATTCTTTGAAATCGAATGATGGAAGTATCCAAACTGTGTGCAAAAACATCCATTCCAATCAGTTTATGGCGTCACAAAATTCAAAGTTGGTTACTTGATAGAAAAATGTAAACAGTTTTCTGTGCCCGTTACATCTCTCAAGGATCAAAGAGGTCGGCATGTGCCGAAAAACAAGAAGATCGAAGAGCGAAAAGCTATGTTAGAGCACATAGAGAAGTACTCTAAATATGAAAGTCATTACACGCATAGAGACTCGCACAAAAAGTATCTTAAAAGCCACCTCAATATTAGGATTCTGTATAATGAATATAAAGCTGAGAATCCAGATGCTGCCTCCTATGACCTATTTCGAGAGGTTTTCAAGTCAACAGGTTACTCATTCAAACAACCACAAGTCGATACATGCAAGACATGTGATTCTTTCGTATTGAAAATCAAGCAGAGTACTGATTCAAATGAAAAAACTCAGTTGACATTAGAACATAATCAACACAAGGATATGGCTGACTTAGCATACAAGTTGAAAGATGCAGATAAGAAGCAAGAGATGATCCAACATTGAGCGTTATAGTATTTGACATGCAGCAAGTCTTGGACACGCCCTCACTGACAGCTAACGTTTCTTTTTATAAACGCCTCCTCTCAACATTCAACTTGACTGTCCGTGACTTCAGCACAGATGGAGGAATCACTAGCTGCTACATGTGGCACGAAGCAATCGGGAAAAGAGGGTCTGACGAGACTGCTTCTTGTGTTTTGAAAAAACTTGAAAGTCTGCCCGAAAGTGTGACTCATGTCATAATTTACTCAGATACATGTGGCGGCCAAAATAGAAATATTAACATGGCCAGTATGTTTTCATATTTTGTCAGTAATAGTCGCCACCATGTTGATTGCATTGATCAGAAGTTCCTCTTGCCAGGACATACTCACCTTGAATGCGATGTAGATCATGCTCGCATTGGAAAATCAAAGAAGACTGCTGAAATTCCCATCATGACGCCCCGAGACTGGTTTCAATTCGTCCGCACTGTAAGAGGCAAAAAGCCATTTCAAGTACATGAAATGACTCAAGACAACATACTGTCATTTTCGGAGCTAGTACAGGAATATTTTACTAGAAGGCATACTGATACGGAGGGTAGAAAAGTGAACTGGCTCGAAATGAAATGGATCAGGTATGAGAAACCCTTTGGGGCAATCCAATTCAAAACTTCATGCGATGATGAAAACTTTAGAGTTCTCGATTTGAGACGATTCAAACGGGGCAAACCACCGACACCCTCATTGACAAAATGTTACGATGGGTCACTTCCCATCAATCCTCTCAAGAAAAGGACCTACTCAGTCTCCTTCCACTGATTCATTCTGAATGCCACAGTTTTTACTTAAGTCTGGAAACCAGTGCCAGAGCAGCAGAATTGCCAGAAGATCATTCTGTTTGTTTGTTAACTTCCTTTTTCTGAAATAAAATGAGTTTTTTTTTTCATGAAAATATTGTTGATTTTCAAAGATAACATCACTTGTGGAATGCCAATACCATACTACCCAACTTCATTCACAGGAGAGTCTCTTCTGAAATTGAAGGAAATATACAATATGTGCACCAAGAAAGATGACAAGAAGAGGGCAAACACCAATATGGACGTACTGTGAGCGATATGTCAATTTGTTCAATGAAACAGGAAGACAAAACAGGATATGTCAAATTTATACAAATAATTTCCTTATCCAGAAAAATGTTGCACTGCCCTGCCAGAAGAGCAGACTTTTATGGAATTGCTGCATTAATCTGAATGCGATCTTAATTTCAGTGATCCCGCAAACTTTATTATTCGTTTCCTGAACAATCCTCTTTTTGAACATATATGGTTTTGCCTTGGTACCACAGATATAATCTTGCTGAATATCACTCGACCATGACAAATAGAGACTATTATTTTCTTCAATTCATCTCGAGTACCTTGTATTTTGAGGCAATTCAATTCGACCATATGAACATTAATAATCATAGATTCAGATTATTAATGTTCGTATGGTCTCATCAAATTGTCAAAATACAAGGTACTCTCGATGGAATTATGAGAAAAATAATAGTCGGCTATTTGTCATGGTCTCGGGATATTACCAACGAATATTGCTAATTAATGAATGTTGGTGAAACTGAAACTAGTGTGTGACGAAACACTCTGTCAGCAACAGGGTTGATGTGAAAATTCATGATATCAAAAGTATTGCTACACATTTACAAGGCGGATCAATAAGAAATATAGTAAAAAAATAAATACCCTAAATTCAAGGCTTATATTCAAAATATCGTATAAGTATTAAATATTTTTGAAAAGCGCAAAGCACCAATAATCCAAATATGAAAAAATATACAGGGTATGATAACAGATTATTTTGAAAATCTGAATACGCCACTGGAGTCCACGTGAAAAACTATATGAGTGACAGTTTTTACTTTTCTCAACTCCCATCAGAAGTTAACGTGGTAACTGTGTGGGCAGGTTTGAAACGTGCCCAATATTCCCAAACATCTGGTTGGTCAGACTGATGGTCATACTTCATATTGAACGTATGTGCCCGGTCAAAGCACAGACTGGACACAGCCTATATCTTCAAATGTAAGTGAGATATCCCGTAAGGACATCGAAAATGAGACAGCCTGTACGTATACGCAAGTATGCACGCACTGCCTGCGAATAAGCACTTCCCATAAAAACATCGCAAGTTGAATAAAAGCTTGTAAAAATAATAAAAACAAAAATCCTAACCGTCTTCCGGGTCTAATGGCTTGAGACCTTGCAGTCGCAAAGAGTTCACCGTCCGTTTGACTTCTGGATGGATGAGTTTGAGCACGGTAATGGTTCTGTCTAGTATGTTTTTGGCCAACGTTTCATGTGTTCTCGATTCGTGGGGCTTGCATATCTTGAAGTCTTCAATCGGATTTGTTGAATACCTGGATCAATAATGAAATATACAGGGTGTTATTCAAGTATGTGATGAAACTTCAAGGGACGATTTTTTAAGTGATTCTAAAGGTATGTTCATGCTTGTACGAATCCGCAAAATTTATGCGAATCGCAAAATATGAAATTCTCAACAGATCTCGACGTATGATTTCTTCATTTCTGGCCCCACCATTGATATAAGTTCATCAAATTTAAGGCACGTTACACGAAAGTAATTGACATATTTATTGGGGTCATTCAGTCGTATTTATCGAACGAGGCTGTAATAATCTCCGTACATTTTTCGGCATTTTGAAATGCTTTGAACACTACAGCTCCTTTTTTGCGTCTGGACACATCATAAGCTCTATAGAGACGATAAATATAATTATTTGAACTTCAGAGTACACAGGACGTATCAATTTATTTGAAAACATTAACATTTTGTACAATTTTTGAGAACAAGCTCTCAATTAAACAGAAAACATCTTGTAACTATTTATTTACATCTACCTTCATTCTTTCTACACAAAACGTTTCCAAGGTTGCATGATTCATGAAAGACAGTAATACCAACTATTCAATAACATAGCTACACTAAAATGATGCCAACTTCACAATAAATAACATAGAAGTTGACACTGTTGCCAGATTTACCATTGTTCTCTTACAATACTATATTAAAATTGATTCGTCCAGAGAATCCTTCCTACGAAGACAATTTAATCAAATGAAGAAATTGAGAAATTTATTATAATAATTTTGTGTACTTACCTGTAATCTAGTGTCTAGTGTCTAGTCTCGTCTTTTTTCGGCCTCTGCTGTCCGCTTCTCAATTCCCCAATTTTGATATCAAAATAACACATTTTATGCATACTGTGTGGTTATGATTCCATCCGAATTCGTAAAAAAGTTCAAATATTTCAACTTCATAGAATTTGATATTCGCAGACGCCATTTTATTCGCAAAAAATTTGCGGAATTCGTACAAGCATGAACATACCTTGAGACAAAAAGTCCATTATGCCCATAGCTCTGAAAAAGCATAATTTTCAAGATAGACAGTGTCAGACTTTTATTATAGTTTTTTCGTAAATCTATAGTTATGACCGTATTAGTATCTCACTTCGACAAATAACAGTGCAATATTTCTACAACATTGGATCAAAGATTTTTGCGATATCTACGGAAAAGCGATTTTCAATTCAAATCTTTAAAACGGTGTATTTCCGGACCCATGTTTACATGAACTTTTCGGCTTGGAATCACTCGAAAAATCAACTCTTGAAGTTTTGCCACATACTTGAATAGCACCCTTTGCTAGGGGATAGTGGGCGTGAAAAAAATACGATTATCAGATGCAAACATAGAATATACTGTGTTTTTCATAAGGTTGGCATCATATGGAAAGGACTTTTAATAATAGATTATTTCGAAATTCGACTCGAGCGTAAAGTTTTGCCTCAAAAAATATGAAAAATTACCTACTCGGTGGTGACTTTCGTTTCGCTGCATATAAAATATTACATTATTTCTAATTAATCGCTGAAAATGGGCTTATTTGTTTGAATTTCGATGAAAGTTTACACAGAGTTGAATTCGAACTCTCAGTTTTTGATACAAAACTGATTCACACCAGTAGCTTCATCATGCTTCTGAATTTCAATTACTAATTATCGACAGAAATATGATTTTCTTCAGAAAATAATAATGCTCGCTTCAAGTTCTTGCTACCTCTTGGTTGACTAGTTTGATGCAATTTATATAGTTGAATTTTTCCAGTCCTGAAATGGTGCTAGTAGTCTATCAAAATATCATAAAACTACTTTACGTATCTAACCAATTTCTTTTTTTATTAATTGACTCCGCCGTTACTTGATGGAAATCCATGGCAAATGTAAAAACTCCACAAACGATAAGATTTCCACAAAATTCTCAAACACACGACATGTTTCGCTAACACAGTAGCTTCGTCTATCGCCTGAACAATGGTTCATTTTTACATTCGTATCTAACCAAACTTTAGGACAGTTTTGTAGAAGGTACAATTAGAAGAATTTTTTCAGTGAACTTTTCTAAATTCAATGTTTTCAGTGATTAATTTGAAAAAAATAAATTTTGACATGTAGCGAAAGTCACGTGATCCCGACCAAGTAGGTAGGCCATTTTAATCTCTTTATCATTATTATCATTAAAAGTTTTTTCCATATAATGATAATAATAATGAAGTTCATTCAAAATGTTGACATAATATGAATTGAAAGTATAAATATTGGTATTGAATGAACAAAGAAAACCTTACGAAGTATAACTTGTGAGGAATAAAAAATGAAAATTATGGTTATTAAATCGATTGATTTATTCGGGACAGAAGTAATTTATAAATAAAAATGAATTGCTTTTCATTCAAACATCGAGTATGAATAAAATTCAGTACTGTTTCAAATGTTGTATACATATAGATATTGAATATTAACCAGAGAAGTAAATAAACTCCTTGAAGAGACTAATATAATAATAATAATAAAAAGGATTTGACTTCTTCAATATCACGCGGAATTTCATCATACGAATAAGGAATCAAATATTTATAATTTCTTTGGCCAATTGTTTTGTTAGATTTATATTTCAATGTTCTGTTTTTGTGTCTTATATCAGTTTAATTTTTTAAATTTAAGGGCGCGCATCACAGTGAAATAGTTCGCACACAGACACCAGTGAAACTATAAATATATCACAGCCGTCTAGTGGCGCCATAATTATAGTTTCATGAATTATTTCTACAGAATCCTTTAGATACATTCGATTCAATCAATAGGGAACCTCATCAATAGATGTCTCTGAATAATGTTTGTGGCTGTACTAAGGGAACAGGTACAAAATCACCTACAGTGTTGCCAGTATTTAATCAGAGTACGTCGCCAAATTAGTAGTAGTAGAAATTCATAATAGTGGAATGATATATTTCACATTATTATATTTACCACCTAGTATTCCCATCCTGTGATGACCTCACCATAGAATGAAAGTCACGATAGTTTATATCTAACATATATTATTGATTCTCTGTCACAGTGTTTGTGGCCAAACTCCTCCGAAACGGCTTGACCGATTCTTATGAAAATTTTTGTGCATTTTTGGTAGGTCTGATAATCGATCGTAAACTATTTTTTAAATTGGAAACTCAAGATGGCGGATCCAATAAGGCGGACGAGTTTTCGAATTATGATCCGATTCTATTCAAAATCTCTGTATCGGTTGGTTTTCGGGATTGAAAATAATGATACTTTCGTCAGAATAAGAAAATTAAATATGGTGGATCCAATATGGCGGACGAGTTTTGTACTTGTGATCCGAATATTTTCAAAATTGGTATCTGGGGGTTTTCGGTATCGGAGAATATGATTCTTTTGTCATAATCAGAAAAATAAAGATGACGGATCCAATATGGTAGAGTTTCGTAATTATAACCCTATTCTATTAAAAATTGGTATTTGGGGGTTTTCGGTATCGGAGTTTATGATTCTTTTGACAAAATTAGGAAATTGAAGATGGCGGATCTAATTTGCATATTGGATCCGGATCTATATAGGTTTTCGTTGAAAGGGATTTTCTCTTTTCATTTCAGGGTTCTGTGGCCAGAGAATGAAGAAGTTATACGTATCATTGTACCTTTGGTTCTTATAATCATTTGAACTTCCCGGAGATTTTGAAGTTTTTGTTGACATGTTTTCTCTGTGCGTTTTTGAAACATTTCAGACACATTATTTACCTGATGAAAATAGATGAGATGTTTATGATATATTATTATCAAAAAATTTTCCCATATGATGCCAACTTTATGAATGATACTGTAGATTGTAGAAACATAATATAAACAAAACACCTGCTAACGTCAAATGGATCTCGCTCTGTGCGGATGACTCGAATCTACTTGGATGGTAAAGCCACAAAGCCATTGAATTTGGACTCGCGATACTCATCTCACTCCCAGAAGCCCATCAAGCCGTCTCAAAAGTCGCCTGTCGCCAAGTTCAATTTTTGGTCGCCAAAATAGGTTCAGAGATAGCCCAATTGTCGAGAAATCGCCCATACTGGCAACACTGGTCACTTATCGATTTTTCTTTGAAGTCCAGTTGGAATCGTTCGGGGAATCACATACACTGCCTGATACCGCGACACCGCCCGCTCCGCCAGTTGCAGTGCTGCCAGCGTTCTGCTATTATATATTATAACACTGATGTTTTTGTATATATCAGTAGGGGTCAATCGTTCATGTTCATGACATTTCCTTAGACCTGGCATCACTGGTCACTGGTTGAAACTAAGTAGCACCAGATTTCTAATTCTTAGCAAATGAGAAAAGGAGGAAAGGATTGATTACTTGCTTTCATAAAAAATAATCTTTCGAGTTTCATATGGGCCTATCACAAAAGACAATATCTTGTTTATGCCTACACTAATTTTTTTATGAATATTAATAGGGTTGCCATCCGTCCGGATTTCCCCGGACATGTCCGGGTTTTAGAGGCGTCCGGGGACGTCCGGGCGGGTTTTGAAAAATTGTCCGGATTTTCGTCAGTTCAAACCACTGACATAAACTATTATCATGTCAGTGAAAGTTTGCTCAAAAATTGAAAATTTGTAGATTTGGTATTATTTATGTGACTTATATAGTTTTGTTTCAAACTCTTGATTGGTTTATTTTTTGTTTAAAAATGTTTTTGAGTTTTTATTCGATTTGTGCAACAAAAAATATGTAGGTAATATACCCGAATTATAGTGATATTCACCATTCACCTTTGAACTCATTCATATGTATATGAAAATGGAATTACACAAAATGATTCCGAGTTTTCAAAATTCCCGCTGTCCGGATTTTCAAGTAGCCTTGTCCTGGTTTTCACATTTTCCAGATGGCAACCCTAATATTACCTGTCATGAGTGGATTATGTATACTTACTTCAACACCAGTTTTTTGAATGGGAATTCAAGATAATCAAAACTA